CATGTATGTATGTATGTATGTATGTATGTATGTATGTATGTATGTATGTATGTATGTATGTATGTATGTATGTATGTATGTATGTATGTATGTATATCTAGTGTGTCTCAGATATTTCAGCCTTGTAAGTACGTAGGCATGAATGCTGTTACTATGGATTAAACGTAGATAAGCGAGTTATAGGGAGGGGGGGGAGGGAGGACACGACACGACAGGAGGTAAGTAGAGGTGGAAAGGGAAAAGCGAAAAGCATGGATCAGGGATGAGGATAAGTAGGGCTGGAGGGGCTAGGCTGAAAGAAGAGAGGGAAGAGTAAAAGGACAGATATGTTAATAGAGAGAGAGGAGAGAGGAGAGAGATAAAAGGTAAAATTCCAAAACACTCCAACTCAACGAGTGTTTGAACCAAGACGGCCATGTCCAGTGGTCATGTTTGTCATGATGGGGGAACCTGGATGTGTGGTTCCCCTTCTTGTTCTAAAAGTTCGTACATGGTACATACATACATACATACACACACACACAACAACAAAAAAAAGGGAAATCCCCCCAAAAGTCTATACCAGTATAACCCACGCGCCTCCAACGCCAGACATGCAAAAAAAAATGCGAGGAGAAGATTTCCCCCTCGTCAACAAGACAAGGTACTACAAAAGACCAAAAAAAAGAAGAAGCAGCAGCAAGTCGCTCCATTAAAGACAGTCATGGAAATGTATCGTTATGTGCATTACCCCATGACTCCGTGAGGGAAACCCCCCCCCCAAGTGTGCTCAGTCTATGAGACACACTAGGACCCGTAAGCGTGGAAGATCATGTGGTGGGGATTAGAAAGTGCCCGGGGCGCATATGTATCGTAGTGAAACTGCCAGTGCCAACTCTAAAAGTGCAATGACATAATAGAGCCGGTATACCACCGAACTAACGGTCAAGGCAGGGCCGAAGCCAGTAGTGGCATGGTGGTAATGCATGATGAGCAGTCGAGGGTGGAATCCGGCAATGTGGACATGTGTCTCAGAGGATGCGATGTCTAAGAAGCATTGGTTAGCTGGATGGCACGCATACAAGGGCTGCCATGTGCTTACTGCCTCATCAGCGTCTCTAGGCTGACAGCACTGAGCTCGCAGTCGTCGGGAAACTGGTCGACGAGAGCGACAATGTCGCCGACCTTGTCGCCACCCCTGTAGGCCAGGATGGCAGGGACGCCAGCATCCTCGATTTCGGCGTCGACATTGTCCATCTTGACGAAGCGGACCGTGTCATTGCGCTTTGCTACCTGACGCATGAAGAACTCAAACTGCTTGGAGACGTGGGCGGTTGGCTGTGGCAGTGTTAGCGATTGATGGCTGCATGGTAGACAGCGGTGTACATACGTCGGTGTCGTAGATGAAGACAACCACAGTGGTGCCCGAAGCCTGGTGCTTCTAGAAAGTCGATCGAAGGCGCGCATTGCCGGCGATGCCCCACTGCACCAGGGGGGGGGGCCGCCTATAACACGACGCCTACGTACACCCCCTGCCTGCCGTGGCCGCCCGAATGCGAGGCAGATGGGCAAGGAGAGAGAGAGATGGGATGCGGCGGCAGGTCGTCGCGCGGGCGTGTTTCAGGCCTGGACAGGCTGCGTATGCCGGCGGGCCAGGCCAATTGGGCGAGTAAGCAGCACAGCACGTTTCGCCCGTCGAGGCAGAGGCGCGCCGTTGGGAGCGAGCGTCGCAGCCGGCCAGCAGCGTCGCGTGGCCTGGGGCGTCGCCCTGCACATCAGCCCTAAACCTTGAGCCGCACGCCCTTTCCGACCGCCGCCGCCGCCCAATGGCCGCCCTGAGACGTCGCCAGTAGCCCCGTAGAGCTGCCGCCAAGCCTGTCACTGCCGCCCTCGTCGTCCATCCCAGACGGCCCCAGACCTCTCGAGCACCGCAACCTTGCACACGCACCCCTTCCTGCTGCCACGGCCTCGACGCTCCATATAATCTGGCCCCTCCCGCGCCCCCAGGCCCCGACCCTTCTTCTTTTTCCCGCCATGAATCCATCCGCCCCGTCGCCTGCCCAAGACGAGTTCAACGAGCTGTTCCGCGACAAGCACACCGACGCCCGACACCCCGAAGACGGCCGCCCCGACAGCGACGTCTCTGACCCCGAGTCGCCCGGCGCTGCTGCCGACTACCTCGAGAAGATCGACACCGACGACGAGCTCGACCTCCCCGCCGACATGCGTGCCAACTACTACATGCCCAGCCTCCGCTCAGAGGCCAACACGGGCCCCAAGGGCGTCATCGCCGACGCCCAAGCCTTTGAGCAGGCCAAGAAGCAGGCCCGCCGCTTCACCTGGAAGAAGAACAGCCCCCCTCCCCAGTACACGGTCAAGGCCTACCACGACGACAAGACGGGCTCGAGCGACGACGACGAGGATGCCGGCTTCATGAGGCAGTGGCGCGAGGCCAGGCTCAAGGAGCTCCAGACGGTCGGCGACAAGATGCGCTCCAGGACAAATAGCCCCAGCCGCAAGATCTACGGTACCATGCCGCTGGTGGACGGAGAGGGCTACCTCGATGCTGTCGACAAGACAACAGTCATAGCATGCACTCGTTTAATTCTCCGACGCCTGCACATGCACATGCACACGAACCAACTATACAGCTACCAAGTAAGTATACTCGTATACTGCTGGCACTGGCACTGCCTGCACACATGACTGCGCCCTCCCTAATGCCTCCCCATCATCTCCGAGCCCTTCCTTCGTCCTGTACATACGTAGCTACTACGTGCCACATATACGCTTGTGCATTGCTGACGCCGGGCCAGGCCTCGGCTCGCATGGGGGCCGCGCTCCGCTGCCGCATTCCCTCTTTGTTTATTTGCATTGATTTTTGACTTTGGCCTCATCAAGATGCGAAAATGCCATGAGCATGGCCATCTCACCACCACTGCCAGGACCCTGGACGTGTTCCGCCCGTCTGTCTCGCCGGCATACCCCTGTTCCGCCGCCCGCCGAAACGCCGACATGCCGGCCTCCCCTCCGCTGCTGCTGCCTCTTAATGCCTCAACAATATTCCCCAATCGTGGCGGTGAACCGTCCCTCCCTGCTCTGCTCACGGCCCCATGGCGCCAAACCCCTTCACAAATAAACATCGGAAAAGGTACATGTATGGAAACTCGCTAGCTACACCCTTCCTCCCACCCCAGTCAAATCCTACACATTCAACCCACATGCTCCAATCACCCATCATGCCCACCCGCAACCCAATCCATCGGGTCTCCCAAGCCCCTGTGCACGCTGTATACTTCCACACATGCTTTATTGATCTCGTGCTCGCTCCCTCCCTTGCCCTCTGGTCCCCACACTGTCCACCCACATGTCCTTTCTTTTTTACCCTCACCCTGCTCTGCTGCGCACAACAGCCGCCTTTGCTCATTCATCCCCCCACAATACCAAGCCAATCATATGAAAACAACCAAAGACCAACAAGTCGAAGCGCAAGCTAACCCATACATCAAACCAAGAAATAGTGACCAAGAAAGAAACAAGAAAAAGAAAGAAAGAAGATGAGAAAAAAAAACATACCAGGCGCCTCAACACCGCATGGCACGCTGACCACGTCAATGTTTCCACCACGGCGTGTGGCGAGGCGTGGCCCTGTCTGTGTATTATATTCTTAAATAGGCTAGCACTCAGAAGCCGCCTGCGTGGCTACCTTGCAGCAAAAGGGTATGGAATGCCACAAACGTGGCGAGGAAAGGTTTTTTGCGCTCGTGTTTTCTACGTTGCCAATATTAAGACTTGGGCGCTCAAGTTCCGTTTGGCGTCGTTACATGGCGTCGTGCCGATTGCGTGCCCGCGTGCGAGCTTAGGCCCAGATGCGCAGCTGTGTGTCCAGTTAGTCCCTCACGTCGTCGTGCCAACGCCACACACGCAAAACTTACCATCGAGTCCCATGAACCAGTGCAGAGACTGAGTGCGTCATTGCTGACGCCCAGACAGCTGACTCGGTTGTCGTGTCCTTGCAGTGTGCCTACACGCTCGCCGCGCAGTACATCCCACACCTGCACATGCATCATTAGTACATGCTTGCAAACCCGTGCACGCTTGATTGCTTACCTTGCACTCAAAGTCGTCGTAGCCTGCAAACAGCAATCGACCAGAAACTGAAAAGGCTACAGAGGTAATGCCGCACACGGGCTCGGGAATCTGTTCACATTAGTCATCCGTCGTCTGTGGGTGCGTGCGTGGCAAATGGCTACGTACCTGGTACGAGGCGAGCTCGCGGTCGGCACGAATGTCAAACAGGCGGCACGAGGCGTCGTCGGAGCCCGTGCCAAAGGCATTGCCGTTGGGGAAAAATTGAATGGCGTTAATGTCCGAGTCGTGGGCGGCAAACGTCTGCACGCACTTTTGCTGCCGAATGTCCCACAGCTTGGCAAAGGCGTCGCAGGCGCCAGACACAAACTGGTTGTGGTCGAGGGGGTTGATGCTCAGGCTCATGACATCGCCAAGGTGGTCGGCAAACTCGTGTACCTTGGACCCCGTCTCGAGATCCCACAGCACGCACGTCATGTCACCCGACGACGTCAGGATGCGCTTGTCACTGATGAACCGGCAGCAGCTGAGGTAGCCCGAGTGTCCCGACAGCTCGCGTGCCACACGTGTCGGGCCTTCCCGCGCCGACAGGTTGTAGATGGAGCAGATGTTGTCGAGGCCACCGCAGGCCACGTAGTTGCCCGAGGGCGAGTAGGCGCACGTCATGACCCACGACGAGCGCAGCGGAATGGCGTGCACCTTGTTGGTCGTGTAGGCGTCCCAGATGATGAGCTTGCCGTCCTGCGAGGCCGAGACGAGATGGCGGCGGTCCGTCGACCAGTGCATGGCGTAGATCTTGGCGAGATGGCCCTTGAGCGTGCGCTTCGTCTTCATCGTGAGGCGCGGCAGTGCCTCGACGCGGTCTCGGGCGACATCGCGAACTGGGGCTCCGTGTTAGCAGTGCACTTTGCACGACTTGCCATGCGGCCATTGGCGGGCGCAGTCACGTACGCGTCGTGTCAGCAAGCTCGTCCTTCTTGCGCTTTATCCGGTCCTTGAGCGCCTCAGCGTCGCGTCGGGCGAGCTGGATCTTCTGCTGGATCGTCTCCTGGTTCATGTCGGCCATGGAGACGGGCGGTGGCTAGCGTCGTGTGCAGAGGGCAGGCGGCGCGAAAGGGCGAGACGGGCGAAGCAGCAGGCGGATCCAGGGGCCTGCGAGCGAGCGCGGTGGAGCCGGGCAACGGGAGAGGCGGGAGGGCAGGCGACCGACACAGGGCAGCACCAAGGGCGGCGATGCAGGCGCGCAGAGCGAAGTCAATTCCTGGCGCAGAGGCAGCAGACGCGCGCGGGCGGTGGGCGTGAGGATGATGTGAAAGGATGCGAGGGCTTTGGAGATGGGCGAGGTTACAGGAGCGGCCCGGGGGTGAGCTTCAAGCTTGGCCTAGCCGGGAACGCCAGCCAGCAGCACTGGGGAGGATCAGAGGCCGTTGGTCGCGGCAGCCAGGTCCTGTATGCACCACACACACACGCACTGCACGCACTGCACACACTCGCTGGCGGGCGGGGCTGCGGATAATTTGCACCGGCGATGGACACTTGGGCGCGCGTGTGGGGAGCGAGGCGTGCGTGGGAGCGAAGAGGGTGAGCGAGCAACAAGGGCGGGCGGGAGAGAGTCCCATGCTGCGAGAGAGGGCGGGTGGCCCTTTTCTGCACCGGCGCTGCCGCTGGCACTCGCACTCGCACTCGCATGCTCGCCATCGTCCCTTCCCTCCGCTGCCTGCGCCTGCCCATTGCCCCATTGACCAACAGGGCGCGCCTTCTGCAATCTCCTGCAGCGCGCCTCCTCTTTGGGGGGCTCCCGATGCTCGCCCTGGCCAATCGGCGCCCAGCACGCCTGTTTTGGCCTCCCGACCCGCCGCCCCTCAGGAACGCATCCCATGACTGCTGCCCCGTCAGATAATAGCATCTTCACAGCATGCCATCTGCGCCGACACGGTGCTAGCATGCAGTGTCTATATCTTGCAGCGGCGTCTATGGACTGATGCATCTGTTGCTGTTTCTTCTTTTTCCTCTCCCCCCACGATGACGCCCGCCGCCCCCGTCGACGCTGCCTTTGCCAGGCGCCTGCCCAAGATCGAGGTACGCCGATAGCCACCCCCCCCCTGATCCGGGAGCCCGCCCGCCAAGCACTAACGCCGCCACCCAGCTCCATGCTCATCTCACTGGCAGCATCAGCCGCGACTGCCTGTACGACATCTGGGCCTCCAACAAGGCTAGACGCCCTGATCTCGACATACAGGACCCCTTGCTGGCCATCCCCCCCGGCAAGGTCGACTACGACATCAACACGTACGTACGCCTGCTCCCCCCACGATCCGACTGCACGCCCGTTGCGGCAGCCAACGTCATGTCCAACCCGCACCCGCACTTGTGGCGGGCCCCAAGTGCACCTAAACAGCTAACCGCCACGCTAGATTCTTCCCCTTATTTTCCTCGTACATCTACCGCCTCTGCAGTGATCTACATGCCGTTGAGTATGTCTTTTGATAGCAACGGCGGCCTAGGCGTTGACCCGGCCTAGGTACTCTACCAAAGCCGTCCTGCGCCAGTTCCAGCAAGATGGCATTGTCTACACCGAACTCCGCACCACGCCAAGAGCAATCCCCGACCAGGGCGTCTCCAAGGAGGACTATGTCAAGACGGTGCTGAACGTGCTCAAGGCCCACAATGACGACAGCACAAACACCCTGCGCGCCTTTCTCATCCTGTCGATTGACCGTCGCAACACTGTCTCGGAAGCTGAGGAAGTCGTCGATCTGGCAATCAAATACCAGTCCGCAGGGGTCGTGGGCATGGACCTCTGTGGCGATCCCGCCAAAGGCGATGTCCGTGTGTTCGGCAATAGCTTCGCTCGAGCAAAGGCGGCCGGCCTCAAGATGACCATCCACTTCGCCGAGAGCGAGGCTTCCTCGACAGACACGGAGCTACAGACGCTGCTTTCATGGAAGCCAGACAGGCTCGGCCATGTCATCCGTGTCAAGGACGAGTTCCAGCAGACCATCAAGGAGCAGGACATTGGCGTCGAACTATGTCTTAGCTGCAACGTCCACGCCAAGATGATCACGGGCACTTTCTCAGACCATCATTTTGGAATGTGGCGGCACAGCAACGTTCCAGTCGCCTTGGGCGTATGTTGAACTCTTTGTGCATGTGGTGCTGTTGTGGCTGACGCGTTATAGACTGATAATGTTGGCGTGTTCTGCAGTCCGTTATCAAACGAGTACTACCTTGCAGCGGAGCATTTTCAACTTGACCGTTCTGACATTCGAGCGCTATGCGAGCGAGCAATCGACTCGATATTCTCCGGCCCAGACGAGCATGCCCGTCTTAAGCAAATCTACGCAACCTGGGATGGATGGGATGTATGAGATGTAGACAATGTGTCGGTGCTCAAACCGTCCTATATCTGCGAGATGATCTTGGCCTGCAAATCTTGAATCAGATACCAGACAACCATCTTCATCATGTGCATCTTGCCTTGATTGAGTGGTGTGATTTATTCTCCTCTTCCGTTTTGGTCATACATGAGACAAGTTCGTGCATCAAGTCGTTTTCCCTGGCAACATCTCCTACATGCACAACACCACCTCGCTGCAAGGTCGATGACTAGCTATCAGCTCACTTTTGAATACCATTGCGCAAACCATTACCAGCCAGTTCTTGGCCAGTCAGTGACGAACGGCGCATGTCTGGGCAACCTGGTCCTCCTACACTCTATCCAAACCCATACTCTGGGGTCAATTAGCGAAACAGCAGGTATGACAATGGATACTGGTCATCGCACCACGAGACTCCACCCTGCACTATACGCGGGTCGGCCCTCCTCTTTCCTAGTGCACTGTCAGCTTCTCCCAGCGACACGTGATTGCGCATAACTATGCGTACAACAGAGCGGCTGCACGTGACCTTCCGAGCAGCACATCCGCGGAAATGCATACCAGAACCAAGATCTGCAAACGCTTCAACCATTTCCGGCCTATACTATACGCTATCATGTATACATCCCGATGAAATGCGGGGCGCCCCAGTTTAACTCCTTTGAGACATGTATGCTCCTCTAAAATTCCACCGCAGTGGTCGCCATAGTCCAGCTCTCCACTGCACCCCAGCATGCAACACAACCTCTCAACTTCCACGATGACTCTCCCGCCATCCAACACGAACTCGGAGGAAACCACCAAACCATCATCAGAGAATAAGACCATAATGCGCACTGAACAGGCTAAACTACGGCCCATGCTCGGTCTCACTCCCAAGCCAAGCGCTCCAGAAGGAAAATTTTGCACATACTCCCGCTGCTTCGAGGCTAGACTCCGCCCGCTTATGCTTACGTTGGCTTATCAGATGCAATAAAAGCTGGTGCCCTGCTACGTCTCGTATCACACATGTGGCCGGTCGATCTGATAATCCACCATCGGCTTACCTCCCTCCTTTATCTGATCGTTTTGCTGCCCGTACAAAGTATTCACTGCTGAAGATGGGCATCCTGGGATGTGAGTGTTTCTCGTTTAGAGTGGTTTGAGATGTAAAAAAAGCTTGGTGTACTGACTAGTGTTGTAGTAGGGTCGAGATCCAGCCATGGCGGCGATCAGGCCAAGGCCATGGAGAGAATACTGATTTTGAAGCTGGGTATGTTTGTATCTATCCTCAACTCCAATCCACAGCTATACTGATTTACTGGGCTAGACATCTTTGTTATGGTTGGTTAGCCTGGATACATTCTTCCCTCATCGCTAAGACGGCTTTCAGGTGTATTGCTGTGCTTGTTACTTTTTCAACTACCTCGGTAAGTCTTGTTGATACTTTGGCTGCTGCAGCACTGGATCACTAATGCAAGGTAGATCGCCAAGCGTTTGCCAATGCATACGTTGCTGGTCTGAAGGAGGATATTGGTCTCAAGAAGAATGAGTACAGCTCGCTGCTGTCCGTTTTCACGGCTGGGTGCGTGACCGTTCTGAGCAGTACCATGCGTCTTCTCAACTCATACCGCTTTGCAGGAGTGTCGTTGGCCAAATCCCTCATGGCCTCATCATTCAAAAGGTCCGCCCTAGCATCTGGCTTCCGCTCACTCTGATCCTCTGGTCCGGTCTTACCATGTGTTCTGCGGCATGCAAGAACTACTCGCAGCTATGTGCGGTCCGCTTCTTCCAAGGATTCATGGAGGCCAGTTTATACAGTGGAGCCATGTATGTGGTGGGGTCGTGGTAGTAAGTTCAGCCAGCACTGTTGGGTCTCGTAGACTTGACCATCTCTTGGATTCGGGTGGCTTACCATCTTCTTAGCAAACCATCTGAACTTGCGAAACGAGCTGCCATCTTCACTGCAGTTGGGCAAGCAGGAAGCATGTTTGCGGGTATCATGATGACGGCTATGCACAAGACCATGCAGGGCACCGCGGGCCTGAAGGGATGGCAATGGGTGTTTCTGATCGGTATGGATGCCGACTTGGCGCCATAAGACTCGACTAATACGTGACACAGATGGTCTAATGGGAATTCCAATCGGAATATTTGGCTTCGTGAGTCCCCATCAGCTGCATGTAGTAGTTCTCGGTCCCTAACACAATCAGTTGACCTTTCCCGACCTCCCAGACACGGCCAGAGTCTTCTACCTCAGCGAAGAGGAGAAGGAATACGCCAAGTCCCGTCTGCCACCCAAGAAGATGAATAGCCATAGCATCAGCCCTAAGAGTCTTGCTAAGCGTGTCCTCACCCAGCCTACCATGTACGCAGTACCTTACCTTGCCAACCAATCCAGTAGCCAATTCTAACCTCTCCCAGCTACATCTTCACCGCATTCTCCATCAGCTGCGGCATGCTCGAGGCCTTCGCCTTCCAGGTACGCTCCCACACCCTCTGCTTCACCCCACACTAACATCACCAAAGGGCATGTTCCTCCTCTGGCTCAAGTACCACGCCAAACGCTTCTCCCAATCCGCCATCACCACGTACCCGCTCGGCACGCAAGCTGTAGCCATCGTCTCGCAAATCAGCGCGGGCATCTTCATTGACCGTACCGGCCACCGCATCCCCATGGTCATCCTATCCGCGTGCTTGCAACTCGTCACGGCGTCTCTCCTCCTTGTTCGCAACCTTCCTGATGCAGGCGTCTTCACGGCTTACTACCTCAGCGGCACAAGCTACATTGTCAACCCCATCATGTACGGCTGGGCCAACGCCGTGTGCCAGCGCGGCGGCGACGACGCCGTCAGAAGCGTTGTCCTGTACACGATGAACATGGGCGGCCAGATCCTGTATACCTGGTGGGGCATTGTGCTGTATCCTGCTACCGACATACCGTACTGGAAGAAAGGCAGCATCACCATGATTGTCGTATGCTTTGTATTCACAGGCATGGCGTTTGTAGTGAGATGGGTAAGTGATGCTCTTTTACGATGCGAGAAATGCGTGTTTTGGCTAACGAGTCCACACAGCTTGATCGCAGAACGATGATACCTGTTGCCAATGGCGAGACAGCTGCGTCGTCGTTGGGTGACAGTGGTGTCGATGTCGTGGTTGGCGCGCGGCCGAAGACTGGCTGATGAGTTAATAAAGTAGTCTTTGAGGAATGATGCTGCATCTTGCATGTACCTGGGGTCCTACACTCCGAGGGCTGAGTTCATGGTGGAATATAAGGACTTTGCATGACATTACGTTACATTCCTTATTACTCCTCTTCTTCTAATCTCTGTCAATACGTGTATTTCACAACAGCCATGTACATGCGATAAACCATCACGACCATACCTTTCTTTCTCATCGACCATGTCATGGCATATGGAGTAACTCCATCGGCATACTTTCCCTTTCCCACCTCTCCTTTCTCCATCTCAGCCCAAGCAAACCCATAACTACACATGCATCCATCTAGTCGGCCATTCAACAAGCGCACACGTCCATCCTGGATGGTGCAACCGTTCAAACGATAAAAGCTACGTACTCCCAACAACAACGTCAACGACTACGAAGATATCAACAACAATCATGCCAAGTTTTCTTCTTCCATACATACTACGGAAACAGCGGGAAAGGGGGTAGACGCTGCTTTTCTTTTTTTGCGTGCTCACATGTCCCGATCTTGGTTGTGTATCGAGTCGAGTCGAGTAGAGTGTTCATTTTTTAGGCTGGACGTTTACAATACATGCATGCATGCTACGGAGATACAGTGTAAATCCCACGCGTTGGTATCCGTGGGACTGGGAGAAGGGAGGGAGGGAGGGTGTTAGTCCTCTCGTCTCACTTCCGTGCTTATGCTTGTGCGAGAGATTATGTATGTATGTATGTATGTATGTATGAATGAATGAATCAATGTACCCTTATCTCTTTCTTCTTTCTCTTCCCTTTTGCATACGAGCAGGCGCATACTCAGCTCTTTAGAATTTCCACATCAACATCGTAGATCCAACAAACGCGGTATCGTACCACATACATAGGGACACGAAGCTGTATCCTCCTTACATTCACTCCTGCATTCATCACTGCTCCACATATGTATGTATATATGTATGTACAAAGCACGGAATAAGATACATATACATGTCTGAACGGACGTATGTGTGCGCCGCACAGAACCTCGCAACATGGCTCTCTTCATTTCACGAATGCGACATGGCGCTTTCACAGTGGAGATGGTAGGAAATGAAACGACGTCAGCGTGAGCGCAGAAAAAGACCAAAGCTTGATTGCTTTCATAGCTGTGCGCTGAGCCGAGTAACTAAGTCAAGTTAACGGCACTGGCAGCGGCGAAATACGTACATGTGCATCCGTGTACGTACGTACGTATGTACTACGTACAAGGCCACGGCGAAGAATGGACCCTCCCCCTTGATTTGCCCGACATCTTTCTCATCGGACGCGTCAATGGAATCGCCACCTCCATCTAACCATCTTACGTGTTGTGTCCAGGTTGTGCAAAGCGACTATGACGCTGATGGCAGGCTCGCAGCCAGGGCTCTATGGGAGGGTACTTGGTCTTGCGCGCGCATTCTCTCTCTCTCACTCACACACACACGCAGCTTGTCCAACGGGCTGGACTGGACTGGGAAAATCTTGCGTGCCTGTGCGTTGGAAGGGGGGGGGGCGTCTCGGTACCTTACCTTCTCTTGGCCTTGGCTACTCCACATTGCTGCTGAGCCACCACCCCTGATGGAAGACTTGGCCAAGGAGCAAGAGAATGAATGGAAGGACGTTCAACAACCACATAATCGCGCTTGCATGCATGCCATGTTGAGGCCGGGCGGATGCGGATGCGGATTTCTTGTCGCCCGACTTGGGGAAGGACGGACGGTGATTGCCCTGGGTGCGGGTGAATGCAGACGTGGGACAGGGCCGTGGTTAATCGGAGACTTGGGGCTGCAAGGTTGTGGATCAGACGGTGTTTTGGATTGATGGTGGCGGGCTGGGGCTGGGGGGGGGGCCGCAGGGCGCACGAGAGAGAGAGAGAGAGAGAGAGAGAGAGGGAGGGGGGAAATTTGCTCACATGACAACCAAGCATTTTGTTCGTCGTGGTCTAGAAAGCAACAAAATCTTGCTTTTATCTTCCCTTTTGTTCTTTTTTTTTTGTTCCTGCATGCTGCTTCGCGCAACCACAAGCGCCCAGTCATGCAACGCTTTCTATAAAAAGAAATGCTAAAAACAGGCTGAGAGAGAACGAGAGGCTGAGAAGGCTCCAGGAAAGCAGGGCAAAAAAAACACGCGCTAATAGGCGCGCACTCGCTCACGTGAAGCCGTACCCTGTTGGCCGGACGGTACTGGTGTACACGTGGTATGGAACTTGGCCTCAGACCTCCATCTTCGCCCGCCTCGCCAACTTGATTCGCTGCCCCGCGCGTATGCCATGTCTGGGCGAAAGAGCAGCAAGAAGAAACAAGAAGAAGAAGAAAAAGAAAAAAACAAGAAAACACGAGACGCATTCCTCACCTGCGCCCCGCCCCGCCCTTTACCCCCCCCCCCCGTTCCGAAACACGCATTATAGGCGTGAGGCTCAACGGGACATGAAAGATTGGTCGACCACAACATACCCCCCCCACACCCCAGGCGCTGCCCTTTCTGCGGCCCGCTCGCGATTGGTAAAAGCAAGGCCTGCTCTCTCTTTTGTTTTGCCTATTGGTGGTAATGCCAATTCCCAATCGTTTCTCGTCCTCATGCTCTCGCTGTCTGGGCGTTAGGGGGAAGGGGAAGGGGGAAGGGGGCGTCCAGGCTGGTTGGATCCGAGTATGCCATGCAGAACGGTGACTGGGTTCGTTTGCGAGCTTGGTGCCCTTTTTTTTGCTCTTTGGTATATGCGCGCGCACCTGTCTGTTTGTATGTGTGAGTGAGTGAGTGAGTGAGTGAGTAGTGCTTCTCGTTGGTCGTTGGCCGTTTGCTCTTGCGTGTTTTATACATACACTCGCTTCATTACCTATGTGATTTCCCTGAACTCCTTTTGATAAACATCATCATCATCGCCAATTTCCTCTCTTTCCTTGATTCTTTCTTTGCTTTTCTCTTTCTCCCCAATACCAAGTCGAGACTTTCGTTCTTGCGAGAAAAGAAAACGCCCCTCTCAATCTGGTTTCTCGCCCCGACTGGAAACCAACGTTGTAACGACTGTGCCGGGTGAATGACGACTGAAACACTCGAAAAGAATAATGAAGTTTGTTATCGCTGTACTGGGCCTCGTGGCCGTTGCACTGGCGCACCAGTCGGAATGTGAGTTTCCATGTCGCTTGCCCTGCAGAGTCGTTGCACATGGCGGGTCGGGAAAAGGCACACTGCTTGCTGATACCTCTGCTTTTAGACGCTATTCCGACATTCGATCCAGACACGGCGCCCCATTTCGCTAGTACTGGTCTCGTGTACCCCTCGACTGCCATTGCTGTACCCACTGCTTCAGGCGCCCCCTCTACGACTTCATCCTGCGCCAGCTCTTCGGCAGTGCGCGTTTCCAGCGCCATGACCAACGCTACGCTTTCGACGCTTACCTCGCTGAAGCCCACTACCACCTTCCCTTTGTCTTCGTCTTCTCCGTCTTCTCCATCTTCCACGTCTCACTCGTCTCACACGTCTCATTCGTCCCGCTCTATCAGCGAGTCGCATACTGTGACTTCTATGGCCACAAGTCCTACGGCCGTAGAGACCACGGCAAGTGCATCGGCTCCGGTAGCAACGGGTGCGGCTGCAATCAACTTTCCAGAGGCTATTGGCGTCATGCTTGGAGGTCTCGCGGCTGCTTTGGTGGTGCTTTAAGTGCTTATATAGCGGCCCGCAATTTAGACTATATGTCAGCATATTATGGTTCTGTAGTATTCTGCTGTCAACACTTCATGGCTAGAGGCGTGAAGAAATCCAACATGTCTTTGTCATGGACAAGTCATCGCGAGCGAACAATGTGTAGAGGGGGAGAGAGTTGAAGCTGGGGGGGGGGGCGACGTGAAAGATCCACATCGGAATTGGGCCGCGGCTGGGCCAATCGGTGGTTCGCCAAAATTCCCCGCTCATTTTTTGGAAGTTGCGACCCGGACCTCGAACTTTTTTCAAGCACCACTTCTAGACCGCGACACCCCAAACAATACCGCCAACATGCCCAAGTCCAAGCGCGCGAAGGTTGTCCACCTCACCAAGACGGACAAGAAGGGCAAGGAGCTCTCTTTGAAGCTTTTTGCCAATGTCCAGGAAGCGGCAGATACCTTCCAGCACATTTTTGTCTTTGCAGTGGAAAACATGCGCAACTCGTACCTCAAGGAAGTGCGCGCTGAGTTCTCAGACAGCCGGTATGAGCTGCGAAGCCGAGTCGCCGAAGTGCCGCGTGTCACTAACGTTGCGCAGATTCTTCTTCGGCAAGACCAAAGTAATGGCAAAGGCGCTTGGCCAGACACCGGCAGAGGAGCACCTCACCAATCTTTCGCAGCTCACCGAACACGTCAACGGCAATGTCGGCCTCATGTTTACAAACCGCGATCCCGGCGAGATTACAGAATACTTTGCCAACTACTCGCAAACCGACTTTGCGCGTGCTGGTGTGGTTGCCACACAGACCTTCACTGTGCCTGCTGGAGTCGTCTACTCGAGAGGTGGAGAGCTGCCAGAGGAGGAAGATGTGCCCCTACCGCATAGCATGGAGACTACCATCCGGAAATGGGGCATGCCGACGAGGCTCGACAAGGGCAAGGTCATTCTGGATGCTCCGTACACGATCGCCGAAGAGGGCAAGCCAATGAACAGTCACCAGACAGCTCTACTGAAGTTGTTCGGCGTAGCCATGGCCGACTTTAGGATTGACCTCAAGGCATACTACTCGAAAACGACCGAGTCGGTGACCGAAGTCGGAGCTATGGAAGAATAAGCCTCGGACTGGATACAATTGCATGACGGCGGCGTTTACGGGCGTTGGGTTTGATGGGTCAAAAGTATGCATGTTAGATGACTTTGCCAAAAGGGTCCAGGTCGCCTCTACGAGCACATTACAATTATACCCTTTTATGTTGTCACCAAAGCTACTGTTCGGATCTACTCGCCATGGAGAGTGTGCAGCATGCATTCTACGAGGCATCGCATTGGAATGTGGACAATTCCTATGGCGCACTGAACGCGTCGGCACGAGGTACGTCACAGCTGGATGGCTTTCCGGACGACTTGTTAATTCGAGATTGTAGCATTGCTCGACTTTGACATTCCCCGAGGAATGCGCATGCAGATATCCTCTCTCGCAGCTCCAAACTTTGCAACATCATACACCTTGGGCAGCGTGGGCGTGGTCGATGGATCGGTTTCGTATCTGTATTCCTCGCTGCCGTTGCGCAAGGAATTCAAGACTTCGCAGATTGACATACAAAATGTCGTACGAGGCTACCAACATGCCAAAGAGCTGAGGCGACCCGACGAAAAATGGTGGTGGGAAGTGTGGCATGGTGGTCAACGGATAGACGGCAGGAGTGAGGCTGCCCACCCCGTCCAAGCATGGCACCGCTAAGTAATATAGACACGCTGTTATACGGTCGCGTTTTTCTACCTCAGTCTCGGCTGGAAGCACTCTATCTGCGCCGCCTGGCGCCCACACGACAGCTTCGTATCGCCGCCGTGAGCGACTCGAACCTTCACAATGGCGGGACAATCCTTACGCTTCTACAAAACGACGTTGGAAAATACAGCACGGAATACATGTACAGCACTGACTCGGCTCTCATGGGCGTGCGGGGCCTCTACAATTTCGGACCCGACCCCAGAGTTGCGGCCACAGAAGCCGTGACGGTGGAGCAGACGGAAGCTGCATATGGCCGCTTTAGTGCAGGCGCAGAGTTGTACTATGGCATACTCAACAAGAGCGGAGGCATCAGCACGGGATTGAGGTTCGCCACGTTACCCAACCATGCAGGCTTTCCGTATACCATGACGCTCACGCTAAACCCATTGATGGGAAATCTTTCGTCGACGTACGCGGTCAAGGCTGGCGCCAACCTCGCGCTTTGTTCTCGCTTCGACTTCAATTTCTATTCTTATGAAAGCGAGCTGCAGCTGGGATGCGAACTGTGGCGTCTACGCGACACGTCTGACGTAGAGTGGGCCGTCAAGAAGCTGCGTACAGACTGGAAACATGCGACGGTTTCGCCCAAAGACGAAGTGTCTGGAGTGCTCAAAGCCAAGGTGGACCAGGACTGGCGCGTCGGAGTATTGTGGGAAGGCAGAATCAAAGAGCTCCTCTTCACGCTTGGCGCCAGCCTGGACCTGAAGAAAAGAGAGCACATGTTCCGATCGATTGGTGTCGAGCTGCAGTACGCCTCTTGAGTGACGAGCACCGGCAGTGAGTCAATGCCGCGTCGACATGGTGCGAACCGCCGTCTGTACTCGTGGGCAACGGAACCCAGCACTCAGCGCTGGCCGAAATGAGACATGGCTTCCCTTGGATGGGCCTTCTAGAAGTGTGTTTGCCGGCCATTTGCGGTCAAAGCATTGCCTAAAGCGGCTTCTGGAAGCCAGTTGCATCAAGACGACATGCCCAAACGACGACGTCAGTAGCGGCACTAAGTGATACTCGTGCGACAGCGACAGCGACTCAGCCGGGTGCGGGTGCGGCAGGCGCATCCCAGACCAGGACTCGAGTAAGCGGGCGCGTACACATGTATGCATTATGGCGCGACGTGTTCCGGGCGGTGTAGCGTCGAAACAAATCGTGGGGGTTATTTGGCGCTGGCAGCACGAGCTCGGGGGTGTTTGGGCGTGTTTGCAGAGGGGTCGCACGAGGCACCGGGAAGCGTGACATATGACAGGCCTGAAGGGTGGATGGCGGCGACAGTCAAGTATACATGTACAGCGTCCCTGGCGCGCAAGGCTGGGTGGATGTGGAAACCTGGGCCCAAGAGGGCGTGTGCAGATCCGGTACCGAGAGGGCCCGGGACCGATGTTGTCGGGCAAGAGTCAGTTTCCGGGTTGATGGCTGTTGTTGCTCACTCGTCGACGCGTTGCACGATTTACACCGCCCCGCCTGGCGCACGCCTCGCAATCAATAGTGCAGGGAAGCGAGCCGTACTGCAGATTGACAGCTGTAGGGCGACAAGACGGGCGATGAGCTGACTACGCGCCGACGTGATGGGAGAACAGGTCGACAGCACAGGTTGGCCACGTCTGAATCACGTCTGTTCCGTGGGGCTTGGGCCGAGTGTGTCAGGTTGCATGCGCTCAGACATGGGCGGCGCGGACGGTGGCCGCGATCTTCTCGTCTTCGGCCTACCCGGGCGATCTGCGACGAGGCCTCCCGAATGCGGCCATGACGATGGCAGAACGAGAGCTCTGGCCAGACCCGTGGGCGAGACGGGCTGGCGTGCGAGGGCGTGTGGGCGTGTGGGCGTGTGGGCGGCGAGACATGGCAGCCATGGCGGCAGAGGGGGAGGCGCTCTCCCGCGCTGGCTGGCTTTGCACTTGTGCCTGGCGCTGCGAGTGGGCGCGAGGCATTTCGAACGGCCTGTCAGTGCGCCGTGTCGTGCCTTTGTGCCGCCGCCGCCCTCGCCGCCCTCGCCGCCGTGAGCACTAGCAGTCCAAGACGACCTCAAACGCGACACGGGCAGCGCCTCCTGCCCGCGGGTGGAGCGTCTTGTTTGGCTACCTGACTGACGCGCACACCCACGGGCGAGCCATCTTCATGCAGCCTCTCGTTTAGACAACTGTGGCGATGGCTGGAGAGGGCAGCGGGGGGGGGGCATGGCCAGGGCTGCCCTATCGCACGGCGGTCTCCTGAGCCGTGGAAGGGGATGCTGTCGTCGACCCTGGTCGCGGCGCTGAGTGGCTCGAGGGAGGGAGGGAGGGAGAGGGGGCAGAGGGGGCAGATGGGGGGGGCACGCTGTACCTGGGCGCGGCCTCGGCTGCTACGTCGTCGTGGCTGGCCTCGGCCGTTGCGGATGGCGGGCGCGCTCGCAGCAGTCGGCGGGCGTGGGCGTGGGCGTGCCGCGCGCCCGGCAGCGTCGCTCAGTGTGGTGTAGGGCGGCGTCGTCGAAGCCGTTCAAGGTTGAGCCGGCATGGTTTGCTGCAAGGACAAAAGCACCTTGTGCGTCACGACCGGTCTCGCGCCTGGCGTCCAGGTAGTGGTGCCGTTGGGCTAAAACAGTCTGTGGATGCCATCCTGGGCCACGTAGCGCCCTGCCCAGCCCACGCTAGCCGGCGCGCACCTTCCCCCCGGCTTCATGCCCCTTCCCTTAATCTCCCCTTTCCCACCCACGGTCGCTCATCTACACACCCAAGGCCCAGCTCCTACATCCGGATTCCCCATCGTCACCCTGCTGTCGGTGTGGTAGCTCTACTACGTTTCCCTTTCTCTGTCGACTTCTGCGAAGTGCCGCCGCTCCTTTCGGCCTTTGCCCACGTTCCTTTCTAGAATCCCCTCATTAGGCCTTGCCTGTCCGCTCTTTCGCACATCGCTCTCAATTGCCTCCCTGTCGGCCTTGAATCGCTTACGGACGATTATCCCCCCTCCCCCCCCATCTGCTCCTCGGTCAGCAGCTCCATTCATACACACGTACATAACATATACGCACGCGCGCCTGGACGGTGTCCCGAGTCTCAGCCCCCCCAGAAGCCTGCTTCTGTGCCACTGGACTCGCCTGCTTGCCTATCTTCGCTCTCTGTATCCACGCTCGCCTGGACTGCAACTTGATCACGACACTTTACGAAACATCGATAGACAGAGGTGTTAGCTCGACTGCTCCCTCTTTATCCCACCCACCCACACATCCCTTTTAGCCCGCATCGATCGAATCGAGTCTTGCTTCCGCGCTCACAACACCACTCGCCCCCCGACATGCTGTCCAACGACGAAACCATGGTGTCCCCTACACCATCGCCGCCGGCCCAGACGTCGACTCCCACACAGGCATCTGCCCCCCGCAGACCGCCGCGCAAGAGCACCCTCACGCAGCAGCAGAGAAACCAGAAGAGGCAGCGTGCCACCCAGGACCAGCTCGTCACACTCGAGGTGGAATTCAACAAGAACCCCACGCCCACAGCCGCTACTCGCGAGCGGATAGCCGCCGAGATCAACATGACCGAGCGCTCAGTACAGATCTGGTTCCAGAACCGGTAGGACCACGGCATTGCCTGTGAGAGTCGTGCCCAGTCACTAACGCTTTGCCTAGACGCGCCAAGATCAAGAACATTGCTAAGAAGAGCATTGAGAACGGTGATGACTGCAACGACATCCCCGAGTCGATGCGGAGATATCTCGCCCTCCAGGCCATGGAGTCTGGCAAGTCGATAGGAACAAACTTTCTCGGGCGAACTGGCGGCATGCCCTACGGCAGCGGCATGTTGCTCAACACCGACGCCAACAACTCCAAGGTTGTCATCCACCACTTTGCCTGCCGCTCCCTGAGCATCGGAAGCTGGCGACGAGTGGGCCAAAGCGCAATGGACCTGGTTGTCTTCTACTCGCCCGAGAAGTGCTGCATCACCTACTACATCAACAATGACTCGGCTGGCTACAAGATTGAGTACCCCTTCTCGTACATCAAGAACATCCAGCTAGAGAACGGCGACATGACGGCAAACGCCGAGGGAGCATCTCAACGCCCCGGAGGCTTGATTGTCGAGCTCAACCGCCCGCCCAACTTTTTCATGGACTCGTCTGGTTCCGGTGGTTTCTTCCAGTGCGGTGACTTCACCGAGGACCAGCAAGCTTCCAACATCATGGTGCACCACCTCGGCGGCCACCCCAAAGTGTTGAGCGGGCAGCTGGCCAAGCTCGTGTCACTGGAATCGTTTCAGAACCGACACAACATGTACGACCCCAACGCTTTTGCCGTCTCGGCACCAGTGTCGCCAATCAACCACCGCCCAGCGTCACAACCCAACCACCTGGTGCACCCGCACATGGCCGTGTTTCAAGAATCGCACCTGGCGCCTGCGCCTTTCCAGCCTCGTGGCCACAAGCGCCAGCGTAGCCGGTCGGTGCCTGTTGCCATGGACTTCTCCATGCTTCGCAACCCCATGCCATCGTTCCTGATCCAGCAAGAGCCATCGCCATACATGCCTAGCCCAGAAATATTCGCGCCGACACCGCAGAGTGCAGGCCCGATTGGCCCGCACCTGAGCATCGACACGTCTGCTGGATACGGCATGGATTACCGACAATACCCCATGTCGGCGACCACGACCAACTCACCCTCGGAGTACGGCACGCCTGCCTTCTACTCGTCGGGCCCGCCCAACGAGAGCGTGCCGGCATCCAACTACGGGGCGTACAACATTCCTCCCTATGTGCACACGCCCATGGGGCCACCTCCCCACTCTGCACCTGGCCACTCGCCCATGCCAGCCATGAACCATCCCGACCCCATCATTGCCAACCAGTCGCCGCCGCTGGGTTCGTATGGACGCGACAACCACGGCGACGTGTACCCCATGTCGCACGACAATGGCATGTCGGACGAGGCGCTGCAGATGACGGACATGTATGCCAAGCAAAGCCTCAACATGCCCTTCAGGTCGCCCCTACTTGACGAGAACAACGACGACTTGGACATGCAAAATTTGGTGTCTTTCAGCACGATTGACCCGTCGAGCCTGTCGCCCGAGCATCATCAGATGTAAGGGTCGGTCACCGGCCGTCGACGCGCGTTTGTCAATTTATCCTATTGCTTGCTCTTCTTATACCCGGTCGTCGTTGTTTTCCAATGAGGAAGCTCGCTGGACCATGAAGATGCCTTTTGGCTTGAAACAGTCTTTGGGCGTCAGTTTGGCGTCAATGTCGTCGTTGTTCTCATTGCTATCGCGCCTGTAGTTAATGTGTCGCTTTGCTTCACGTTTTGGCTTCCGATTTGTTGGACATGTCGCATCATCTTTCAGCCTTTTTTTCTTTTTCTTTTTTTTTCGCAGTGTTTCTTGCGCCTTGCAAGACACTTGCATTTTACTATTCACCACTCATCTTGTTCTCTTCGTAATGCAAAATTGGACGACCACCATACAGGGATTAGTTAGTGAAATGGCGTTGCAATGGTCTTCTTGGACGGTTAGGGACTATACACAGAGAGAGGGCGGGCTGGAACAACCTGCGCTGGTGTTTTTTGCACAGACGTCAGCAACAAATGCAGGTCGTCCTTGTTGAATTTCATTTCTGTCTTTTTGGTTTGTTCTTACTTAGCATCCACTTTTTCTTTCTTCTTCTTGTTCCCGCGAGCTAGCCTTCTTTTTCTCTCTCTCTCTCTCTTTTTTTCCTTTGTCTGTGTGTGTCTCTCTCAAAAGTGGGGGTTGGCGTTTCTTGCCAGGTGGAGGAAGACGGGGGGTTTTTTTTTCTGTGTGTGAAGGTGTGTTGCAGGGGGCGATGTGAAGGCAAAGCCGCTGCGCGTGCTTGAGTTGTTGTTTTGGATAGGGTCTCGGATGCTGTAGTGCTTTCTTTTCTGCTACAGCAGAATCAGTGACAATATCATACCAATTCAAACCAAGCCAGGCCAATCCGACGTGAATGCGAGTGAGGGGGGGGGATGGAGAGAGAGAGACAGAGAGGATAGTGTGTGCGAGTGAAGGGGGAAATGCAGCAATATTATAGAGGAGTGAAATTAAGATGGACACATGTTTCGGCATGCCGGGTTACGAGATTGGAGTCCATCGTAATCTCGCGAAGGATGATGGTCGCACGTTATTGACCCAGGACCAAGAGCCCATTTGACGGGGCAAAATGAAGGTGCATCCGGGCCAGGCCGTCGAGCAGCAAGCAAGCGAGCGTTTTCAGATTGCGCGTGCTAAGGCATCCAATAGAAGGGCGTGTAGCGCATAGCAGCGGGCGGTGGGCGAGGGGTGACGAGGCTTTTTTGCATTGCGCAGAGACGACGACGGCGGCGCAGAGGTCGGGTATGCGGATACGAGGAGCACTTGCGGAGTCGAGTAGAGTTTCGACAATACCCAATGTGGCAATGTGCCTGTAAGATCGCCGGTGCTGGCTGGTTGGCTGTCTTGATGGTGTGACGGCGTCTCAGCTTATTGGGGCCAAGTGCATAAGCGGCGGCACAGCATGGCTCGGCTGACAGTGCCTGACAGAGACGGCGGGATGCATTGATTATGTCAGTCAGTCCGTCAGGCCAAGTCAGGTTGTGCTGTCAGGCACGCTGCGACATGCATGTTCATGCTGTGTGGCAGCACGGCGACGAGAATGTGTGTGTGAGTGAGAGAGGGAGAGGATGCGGAGGATGTGCAGGGCCAGGCACGGGCGGCGCAACGGGACGGTCAATCGACGGGGCAGGCGCGGTGGTCTTGGGGCTGGCGTGGTCTGGATGCCGGGCTGGCGTGTAATGTAAGACTGAGACGAATTTTCCCCTTCTTCTGTGCGTGGCAGAGGGGAACGCCGTGGCGGTCGTGAGTGGCGGGGCGCTGTGGCTGTGCCCCGGGTGCTGCACGGCCACGGCCACGGCCACGGCCATAACGGGGCGGCTCATTTCGGCCGGCCAATCACGCGCGCGCCGCCATGTGTCTACTCCTGAAGCAAGCCCCCGACGCCCCTTTGCTAACGGCACTGATAAGGGCCGGCGTGCAGCAGCGGTTGTTTTGCCTTGGCTGTCTGCCTCGTGCTGGCTGGTTTTTTGTTCCTTCTTCTGCTGCACCCCATACCCGTCCGTCTCTTGTCGTTCGTTGACTGCGCCCCTGCACCGTGTCTGGTGTCTGGTGTCTGGCGCCTGCTTGCACTTGTGCGCGCTTTTCTGCAGGGGCAACCGCCCGCCCGCGCCTTACACGTCTCCACGTCACCAGCGCTCCCTCACTGTCACCACACACGGTCACACACCTTGGCAAGCCCCAACGCCGCACCGCTTAGCATCTCGACGACGTCAAAGTGCTACTCGCACTCGCACTCGCACTCACACTCGCCGTCTGCTGCCCGCCCGTCTGACGTAGACGATCCATTCTCTTGTTGTTTGGAACACGCTCTGCCTGGCTCTGCATAACGTAGGTATACGCCATCCGACACTCCCGCCCGACCCCGTTTGGCTCCCATTGGCGACACTGCGACCACTTCCGTCTCGCGCTTTCCCCCTCCCACCAAGCTCCACCAAGCTTCACCCGTACCCTTCACTCCTTTGTTTTTTTCCCTACATCCCTCCCCCGCCCGCCTGCGTACCGCTGCTGCTGCTGCCCGCCCAGTCTTGCTGCGTGCGAGTAGCCTGCTGATTGTCCCGCGTCTAGTCTCGCACCTTCTTCACCGCCAAACATACGCGTTTGCAACTCGGTGGCCAGGGACCATACTCGACCTCTGGACCACACACCCAGTCTTTTGTGTAGCTTCACTCGACCCGTCAGCGTCTTCTCGGAGCAATTGCTGCCATGCCTGCTCGTAGCATAAACCCGTTCGCCTCCAATACCCCTACTCACCCCCTCGATCCCCTCAACGAGAAGCGCGACCCCGCCCGCCGCGCATCCTTCCCCAAGGGCAGCAAATTCACCTCGCTCTTCGGCGGCTCGCCCAAGTCGCGCTCAGAAGCCGCTGTACTCCGCGAGGCCTTGGCCGCCCAGCAGCAGGCCCTCCTCAACTCGCCCTCGCCCTCGCAAATCTCTCTCCCCACCATCAACCTCACCACTGCCACCGGAGAGAAGATGCCCACCGAAGCCAAGACGCTCTTTCAGCCTCCTTGTCCAGACGAGCAGCGTCGAGTGGCACGAGCCCATGCCCAGTTTGGTCCTCTTGGATCTCCAAAACACCGCTACCACAGCAAGTTCGAGGGCGAGTTCGGCGACCCCATCGAGGACGAGCCGCCATATTATTTCCTTCTCACTACATACATCAGCTACTTAATCCTAATAGTATTCGGACATGTCCGCGACTTCTTCGGCAAGCGCTTCAGGAAGCAACACTACAGCCATTTGCAGGAGAAGGACGGATATGCACCTCTCAACAGCGACTTTGACAACTTCTACACGAGGCGCTTGAAGATGCGCATCAACGACTGCTTTTCGCGCCCCACTACCGGCGTCCCCGGACGCTTCATCACTGTGCTCGACCGCAAGTCCGACGATGGAAACAATACTTTCAAGATGCTGGGAACCACGACCGAGACCTTGAACATGAGCTCGTACAACTACCTGGGATTCGCCCAGTCAGAAGGTCCTTGTGCGGATGCTGCCGAAGCTTCCATCAGGAAATACGGCATTGCAATGGCTAGTCCCCGCTCAGATAGCGGTACTTCGGAGCTTACTGTCGAGGTCGAGGATCTCATTGCCAAGTTTGTCGGCAAGCCTGCTTCAATGGTCTTTTCCATGGGTTTCGTTACCAACGCCACCACATTCCCCACCATTGTTGGCAAGGGCTGCCTCATGATCTCTGATGAGCTCAACCACTCGTCTATCCGTTTCGGCGCCCGTCTCTCAGGAGCCATGGTTACCATGTTCAAGCACAACGACATGCGCGATCTTGAGCGCAAGCTCCGCGAAGCCATCTCCCAAGGACAGCCCCGCACACACCGCCCATGGAAGAAGATTCTGGTCGCTGTCGAAGGGCTCTACTCCATGGAGGGCACCATGTGCAACCTTCCCGGCATCATCAGCCTGAAGCACAAGTACAAGTTCCACCTTTTCGTTGACGAAGCCCACTCTGTTGGTGGTGTTGGCCCTCGCGGACGCGGTGTATGCGACTACTTTGATATTGACCCCGCCGAAGTCGATATTCTTATGGGTACCCTCACCAAGTCCTTTGGTGCCAACGGTGGTTACATTGCAGCCGAGAAGCACATTATTGACAAGCTACGGAGTTGCAATGCAGCCATGCTGTTTGCTGAGTCACCTGCACCGCCCGTCCTCGTCCAAATTGCCTCTGCTCTCCGCATCATCGATGGCTCAATAGTACCGGGACAGGGTGAAGAGCGGCTGCAGCGTTTGTGCTTCAACTCTCGTTACCTTCGATTGGGTCTCAAGCGTCTCGGCTTCATTGTCTACGGTCACGACGACTCGCCCATCATTCCCGTCATGCTCTACAACCCTGCCAAGATGCCCGCCTTCTCCCACGAGATGCTCAAGCGTAAAATCTCCGTTGTCGTTGTCGGCTACCCCGCTACGCCCCTGGTATCATCACGAGCCCGCTTCTGTGTTAGCGCGGCGCATACCAAGGATGATCTCGACCGCATGCTTACGGCTTGCGACCAGGTTGGCGAGCTTCTGCAGTTGAAGTTTAGCTCTGGTGTCGCCGGTGGTGCCGAGCCCGAGGAACTCGAGGAGATGAGCGCGGCAGATGGAAAAGAAAGGGTCCCCAAGCCCCCAAGGTGGAGGCTCGAGGATGTGCTCCAGAGAACAGTTGATGATGTGCAATCGACGCTCCGGTAGAGCATGATTCAGGGAATAATGGCATGAGGTCACGGCACAATGGCGTAACTATGTGGATCCCCGGGTCAAGTGCGAGTTATTCTGGGCATCCGTCTCACCTCATCCATGGGTCTGTGTTTATACGCAGGCACGTCGGCGCGATTGCCTCTGCCTACACCCTGTTGCCTCGTCAGCACTACGTACGCGCAACCCTCACCTGTTTCAGACTCGGGCCCACACGTGACTCGGGTGGTACGATCGTTATCGTCATCACCTTCCTCTCATCGTGATCGCTGCTAGCATCACGGCTGTTATACTCCCCTTTTCTCAGCTTCACCTCCCCATCCAGCACTGCTCGGGCATTATGTGGCATTGCGGCATTTTTTCTCCTTGTCATCCTTTTCTTCCTCACCTTTGGTTAATCTACCTTTGTGTGTATGTGTATGATAAACATTAACTTTCTCAATACCCTCGTTATGTGAACCGATTCGCTTATTCTTCCCTATTCCTAATTGTCAGGTCTCCCTTGTCCCTGTTCTATCTGCCCTTCTCCCCTGCCTCGTTTTTCCCCGAATCTAACAATAAGTTATGCGGGGGACTAAGGGCAAGGGGGATAGATAGGGTCTTCCCTACTTAGGGGTTTCGATACGTAGCCGTACTCGATTCGATTCCCGATTGGAGGAATTATTAGGCGACTACTCGACTCCGTTGTTCATTCTTGTACGGACGTACTATTACCCTCTCTCTCTCTCTTTAAGGGGGGAGAGGAAAAGCTTGCTTACTATGCACGTACACACATACGAAGGAAATGACCAGTACAGGCGAGGGGGTAATGAAGGATATACGAAAGCATGCGGGGAAGAGATGGCAGCGATGAGGGGTTGAAGCCAAGAAAAGAAAAAGAAAAAGCCAACCAAGATAATTGTAATGTTAAATTAGCTAGTTAATCATTAATGCCAGTTGTAATATGTAATGGTGCTACTCATGTCGTAGCTTGGAAGAGCAACTTTTCTTTTCCAACGGCCAGTGAATGTGTGAAGCAAAAAAAAATTTTTTTTGCTTTGCCCCAACACACAGCAAAAGGCATTGAAGATGAAAAAAAGAAAAAAAAATTCAAGCCCGGCTAGCTCAATCGGTAGAGCGTGAGACTCTTAGTATTCACGTTCCTTCACAGGCACGATTGTTAGGGAAGAGAGAGAAAAAAAAATCTCAAGGTTGTGGGGTATGTATGTGTTTTTTCCCTTGTATCGCAATACTCTTTCATACTTATTTAGTAGCTTTCTCCCAGATACGTACTAACAAATATCCAGTTCGACCCCCACGTCGGGCTTTGTACTGCCTTCTCTTCTCTTCTCTTTCTTTTTTTTGCGTATATTTTAGTTCATTTTGGGTGGGTATGTAAAAAATTTTTTTTTAGCTGTGTTGGTGGGCATTTTAAGGAATTTTTTCTTCTTCTTCTTCTTCTTCTTCTTCTTCTTCTTCTTCTTCTTCTTCTTCTTCTTCATGATTTCGGGCGCTGGTGCTGGATTGGGTTGGCGAGTGGGCTTGGTGGAGGAGCTAAGTAGGCTGGGCTGGGCTGGGGCTGGGGCTAAGTACTGTACAGTAAGTACGTAGGGCTAAAGTAGGTTGAGTTGAGCGAGGCAGGTTTACCACGCTGTACTGTAGGGTACACGATTGTACAAAGATAGCAGCGACGTGTTACACGTGGCACTTTAATCAAACAGGATATGCATGTTTCTTTTGCACCGCGGTATGGATATTGTTAATACATGTTATTCATTCCTACACGCCGCTACTGTACTTATCATACTCGATACGTACTCGACCAAGTAAACCCCTCTCCAATCTCCCAACCCCACTCATTCCAAGTATCCGGAATCAAGGAAAATTACTGTACTGTACTGTACTTACTGTAGTAAGTAATCAAACTCAATACCTCACATACCCATCATACATGTCCGTCCTCCTCCTATCATCCCACTCATCATCATCGTACACAACCCTCCTCGTCCTATTACCCCTAGGATTACCGCTCTCATTGGCAGCAGCAGCAGCAGCAGTAGCAGCATAGCCATATCCTGCTTCGCGACGACCCTTTTCATTATTCTGGCGCGCCCACTCCAATGCAGTGTGCAGATCCCGCAGGGTAATCTGCTCGTCCTGCGGCTCGGCATCCATGTCCGCGCCGTGGTGGCGTACGGGATACGCTTGGGTGTCGCGAGGGTCTTGGGCAAAGGAGAAGGGGCGCGCGGGCTTGGGCGGGATAGGTAGTGGGGGAGTGGTATGGCGCGGCATTGGCATGCTTGGGGTGGTGTGGTGGCGGTGGGGAAGATCGGGTCGAGATGGGGGGTCGGAGAAGAAAGGAGGAGTGTAGTCGTTGTTTCGGTCACGGTCACGGTCACGCATCGATGGGTGGCGGGGGATAGTGTGCGATGCGGTGAGTTGCTCTTCTGCTGGTTCGCGGGGGTACCTTTGTCGCTGTGCTGAGCGCATGTCGGGATTATGCTGCGTGTAGCTTCGAGACTGAGGCTCGTAAGGGTCTGCGGGTCGCTGGAATGCTGCACCAGATGGCTTGCGGCGACTGGGTTCGCGATGCAGAGGCCGTCGGCCTGAAGGCGTGTCCCAGATTCCGTCGTCGGCTGTGTGGACTGATGTCGTGTAGTACGACTCTGTGCCGCTTGCGTTCTCCCATGAGCCGTCGGATACGTCGTCGTGGGAGGCGTAGAGTTTCCCTGGTTTCTTCTTGCCCTTCTTCTCGTTGTAGGGGTTCACGGGCGAAGCATTGCCGCTTCGTGTGCGGTCTTCGGCCATGTTGTTTGTGTTCATGTGGATGTGGATGTTGGCTGGAGCTTGTGGCGAACTGGATCCAGATCCGTCTGGAGTGCGTCTGCCAAAGTATCCATCGTCGATATCACTGCCATCTCGATGTTTCTGCCCTGGTCGTTGAGTATGCTTCTCGTGAACGACTCTGCGCGGATGGCTTTGGCTTTGGCTTCGGCCACGACTACCGTTGCGCCGTTGGCTTTTGCTACGCAGACGATGGACTGGGATTTTCTGGGGCTGCTTCATGCTTCTTCCACGTCTGTGGTGTCCTGTGTTTACGCGCATGTCGTTGTCAATGTCTACGAAGCTGGAGCCCTCGGATTCGTCCTCCCAGCTGACATCACTTTCCCAAGAAACACCAGAGGAGACATCGGTGTAACTCATGCGCTTGGCTTTCTGACGCCTAAGCAATTCGGGATCAAGATTCTCATTTGCCTGGCTTGGTCTCATTCCTGGTGCTGGGATTGGCATTTGGGTACTCTGCGGGTAGCTACCAGGCATGCCTGATGGACCTTGTGATGGGTAGTGTTGCATTGGGGGTTGGCGGACATGCGGCCCTGGAGTAGCAGTATGAACCCTTCCATTGGCTGGTGGTGGAGGCGGTGGTCCTGTTGGTGCAGGACGGTCCATTGGAACTTGACCATGTCTTGCGCCACTTGGAGGAGGTGGAGGTGGAGGAGGCTGCGCTTGCTGACTATGCATCGGCATATGCGCACTGCCTTGAGGGAGGGGAGGCTGGCGATACGACTCAACAGGTGGAGGAGCTACCACGTTAAGTGGAGGAGGACCCATACCGGGTGGAGGAGGAGGTGGAGGTGGCGGTGGATGTTGATGTTGAGGCTGAGGTCGCTGCTGAGGCATCTGCTGTTGTGCTGGCGCAAAGCCACTGGTAGCAGTGCCAGCCCCAGTCTTAGGTGCTTGAAAACCAGAGTCTTCAGCCTCCAAGATGATGTCAACACGAACAAGCTGTTTCTCGCGGTGTGTTAAATAGGCGCGTTCCCGAAACTTGTTTACTATGCTCACAATCCTGTACTCCATGGCAGGATTGTGTTCAGTAAGTATAGCATTCTGCGCCTCCACAAGCTCGTTAATAATTCTTCGACAGTTTGGAGAGGAAATCTCCTTCAAAGCCCTCTGGACGTTGTTCTGGTTACGTCGAAACTTGTGTACTTCCTTTTTGAGATCGTGGACCGTGACGTGTTGCTGTTCAGGTACAACATCCTCCCAGCTTGTAGCATTCCTAGGCTTCTCCATGACGAAAGCGACCAGAAGGGGATTTTGACTGGCCGTTGTGTTGACTGTTTGGGAAACCTTGGAGACATCTTGATCGAAGCTCTGCTGTGCGTTCGGGGACTGTCGTTGCGCAGTGCTCTGAGGTTGAGACATTGGACCCTGGTATTGGGCCTGCGGAATGGGCATTTGATGGGCCATGATATGCAGAAGATGGAGTATCCCCAGAGATGAATTGATGTAGACCGATAGAAGGTGATATCAAAGGTCGCAATGCGTGTTAAAGAGAAAGTAGCACGCAACACAAGTTGCGAGAAGTGAAGGACGAGGAGAGTTGGAGACTCGGGCAGAAACAGCAAGGAAATTGCCTGAATTTATATATCTGGAAACAGTTGAGCCTCTTCAGTGTCGCACATGTTCGCTCGCTTTTCATGATAGTGGTGTTACCATGTTATGCAAGTGCCGATAAGGGGCCTCCTCGGATCACGACTATCACATCTAGTTGCTTGGTCAAGATGCATATGAAACAAACTTGGATTGGCCGAATCTAATGGTCCTCCCACGCGGCCGTTGATGACAGGACGCTGACCGGTCCAAGCCACCAGGCTGAAGGGTAAACCGGCAAATCGCCTTCTGCCTTGTTGCGTGACACAAGTTGCGGCAGGCCTTTCCATGATGTTGAGCCTCAAATTCTTACCGGAATATTGAGAGGTCCTTCCAACATGCATGCAAGCGATGCAGCATACATGGAGGACTACAGTAGTCATCTTGGACGCAGCCTGGTGACAAGGTCATTACGACATGTTTCTGCATGCATGCGTTGTTTCGTTGTGACACGCAGCCAGTAGTGTTTCATGAACCGATAATGTTCCGTTATGCTGTAAAATAGTCGCATGGCATGGTGAAGATTTGGAACACGCTGTTTGGTCAATGCTCCAAGTACTTGGGCTGGAGGCAACTGGAGGCGCTAACTGCATGCCGCGCCCCACTTTTGGTCCGTGCGTGGTTCACGACACCATCCCCAGGTTGTGGACGCAGTCAACTGCCACAAGCCACCAGATTGATGTACACGACAGCCACCAAACTCGGTTAATGTATGTCTCGCCTCACTTGAGGGGTCCATCTAGCGCTCTTCTCCATCTATCTGCCTTTGGTCCCGCTTGGCCACGGAGACTACAGCCGAAGTGCTGTAACCAGCATGGGTCTGGACGTCCTTCAGGCATTCCTACGTATACTTGGTTATACAAAGGCTGTGTCCGCTTCTTTACATATCCCCAGTATGCATGTCTGCATTCAACTCGGCTCCCTATACGCCAACAGTTCGGACCGTACCAGACTCTCCGACTATTCGCAATGCCAAGCTATCTGTAACGATGACAGCGGGCTATGGACGCCACATATTCGAACTAACAACTACCTGCTATCATGCATGCTGCGGAGCGGCCGGAAGCATGAGTTCGCAGTCCGCAAAACCGCAAAACCGCACTCACCAATACAACGCAGCGCTATCTTTACCGGTTGGACTTGGACGCACCTCGATGCACCCTTCCACGCCGCCAACCTTCGGACACAGTTCGGCAGACACTAATACACAGGCTGCTGGAGGACTACCTCGAAGATACGAGTTCACCGGAGCTATTATGCATGCGGCATGCAAGCCAGCATCTGACACTTCCAACTTTCAGCCTCATGGCCCTCATTTGTCGCAGCACCAACCACATGTTCGCCTACAAAGCCCAAAACAGGTTCACAACTAACAGCTCACGGGAAAAGGACGAATTCGATATACCATGAAAGTTTATAGCCTAACGCCCATCCACCGGACGCAAGCCGCGTACTCGATGCACTCACTCAGTGCCGCTGCCTTTTGCCTTTTAGTCCAGTCTGAAACATACACACCACTCCGACCGCATACGCTCTATTCTAGCCTTTCCATAAGCGATAACAAGGCCGCCGGTCCGAGCCTCGATCCACTCGCAACGACACGCGACCCGTAGCGCTTCCGCATCGCACCATTCCCAATACGCATCAAACATCCGAGACACGCGTGAACATTGCAACGCTCATACCTACTTGGTTACCCCGCAACCACCTAGTTTGCCTTTCACGTGTTGTATCCTCGGCCAGAATAGTCCTTCGGTCGCAGTACAAACCAATCATGTGGCATCTATATGCGATGATCTTATGTGCACTTTTGGTCTCATACTTTTTCTGCGCACTTGCCAGCGCATATTGATCGACAGTGATAAGCTAGGTAAGAGACGAAGCCTTTTTAGGCCACTATCGACTGCGATATTCTTTCATATCGGTGGATTCTTTCCTGTGGTATTCGTTGTCATGCATCAAGTGGTAAAAGGTGCTCAGTCACGAGTCCAGATTTGCTATCGGAAGAGCTGCCCACATCAACGCTGGCAATGCGTGCTGTTTTCTTTCATACGAAGTCATCTATCCAGGCCATGTTTCCAAGTCTAAAAATCAATCCTCTTCCCAAATACCATCCAAGACGCCCCGCGCACGCCATATCATGTCTTGAGCTTATCGCGCCGGCCCCTCTAGCGTGTTCCGCCTACTAGGCACCCTCGGATCCCTCTTGCCCATGGTAACCTCCAGCGCCTGGATCAAGCCCCTCTCATCATACCTCACGAAGCCCTCGCCCTGGTTTCGTCGCCCATACACACGGATGGCCTCAATGCCAATGCGTCTGAGCTCGTCTTTGTCGACGGCCGGCGTCCCCGGACCTTGCAGATGAATCACATGCGTGACGTAGTTCTTGTACTTTGCCTTTTCCGGAGCCCCAAATACGCCTTTTGACTCTTCCCCTGCTTTGGCGATGGCAGCCACAAAGTCGAGCGCCGAGTACGGGTTTGACGACGGGCCAGTCTCGCGGTCAATGGTTGAGTTGAGGATGAGGATCTTGTAGCGAATTGAGGGGTTGCTTATTGCTTCGCCGACTCCTTTCAGAACGAGCGAGGGGATGATGGACGTGTAGAGAGAGCCAATGCTGTAGATGACACTCTGCGCGTCCTTCAATGAGTTGAGTACCATGGGGTTTGCCGAGAGACGGATCTCCTGGCCGTAGGGGTTAATGTACCACAGCCTTTCGATTCTTGCGGGTAATTCCTCTTCATCGGCTTTGGAAAAGGTGATGTATTGCTTTCGGAGCGAGGGAAGAGAGCCAGGTAGGTTGGCGTCCTCGATGCGGTCATGATGCTCTGTCTCGTCAATCTCTGTGGGTGCGCCGCCGAATACTAGAGCTGTTGAAATAGAGGGATGAGATATTGAGTTTTGGCCAGTGATTACTTCGCCATTTGCGAGGCCGACGGAAATGTGGTGCGTGAAGTTGGTGTTGATTGCGGGGAGAACAGATGTGTGGCTGGGTACTGAGCAGATGCTAGAAAGTAGATAGATGGCTGATTCGAATGACCCGGTGAAGAGTCGAGCACTGTAGAATGTTAGTACTTCCAACACTTCCAACACTTGTGATTACAAGATTCACAGGGTTCAGCATAAACGATCACCTAAAAACCAGACCCGGTGCCCACGTGTCTTGAAAAGGATATTTGACAAACAGTCGAAACGTACCCAGTCAAAAACAAATTTCCGATACTTGCGCCAGAAAAGTCAAAACTGGATGAAGGGCGCCGGCGCTTGATAATCTCAAAGGCGACAACATTCAGCATCGATCGCACTAGCTCTTTCTTCGCTGTGGAAATGTTAGTCCATAGTGGATGTTCAGCCTCTACAATCTGCAGCCACTCCTCTCGAGCAGAAGAACGTTCTTTGGGCAGTCGGTGGTTGAAGAATGTTTTAATGGCAGCTTTTTCGCTGTCGTCGTGATCTGGATCATCTGGGATAAGACGAACGAGACGACCTGTACTTGGTCAATACGAAAGTTGGTATTCTACGAACGTCTCTAGCGTACTTCGCACGTCGCCAATACCTTTGGCTGTTAGCACGGATCTTCTTTATAGCCGTGCCGGCGATGCATACCAGGGCCCCCAAAGACGCGTATCAGCTCCGATGAGCTGCCACCGTTATCGCTGATAGGGATAACATAGCTGAGCGGGCACTTCTTGTCCTCCCTCAGCGTCTTGAACACATCTACCAAGTTGTTGGCAGCGCTACCGCCAGAGAAGACTACAATGCCCTTGGCCTTGAGGGTGCCGTTGATTGTTGGCGAAGCAGGCGGCGCCGTGCTATCGCCATGTGGCGTGAGGAAGGTCTCGGTAGTCATGACCGAAGATGTGAGCGTTGGGGGTTGCGCAAGACAAGGTTGACCACAGGGGCCACGGGTGAATGTCTTTATGTCATGCTGAACGGAGGGTGATGGGGTCTTCTGATGTGGCCCGAGATGTGGTCGCCCTTTCATCAGCAGCTCGAAATAGACCCGGGCACTAGCCTGCTAGGGCGGCTCTGCACGCGTTACTCAACTAGGCAATATCTCGCATTTTCAAGCGTCGGTGGGCACAGTCTGATGTTTGTAGGGGTTGTATTTTGTAAAAAGTGTAACATGGAGGGATTTGTACAAACGAGCCCCCAGCTCAGACATGGTAGAAGACTGCTTCTAACGCGCACCCCTCCCTCGTGAGATTCCATCCCTCTTCTTGCCTCAGCACGAACATTGCGTGAAACCTGGCGTAGTCACAGCACATGTGCGACTTGCGGTGATGCCTTGGACGTGGTTACGGCTACCCCAAACGTCATTCCCAACCTACCCCTCACTCCCATGGCCGTGCCTCTGCCTGCGACGAGCGCCTACGAGGATCCGCCGGCAGCCTCCTCGCGCTCCTTCCTTCGTGCTCGCTTCTCAAGCAGGGCGTCTCGTCGGTCGGCGAGGATTCGGAATTGTCGTTGCTCGACGCCCGTGAGCCAGTAGCCGAAGCTGCCGCCAATGCCGGCGAAGATGGGGTAGACCCAGAGAGACTCCTTGTTGAAGAGCGGGCGCTTTTCAATGCCCAGCTGCCACAGCCGTGTGGCCACGCCTGGATGGGGTCAGTAGGGATCCTGGTGGGCGTGCAGAGGCCGTGGCAGACGTACCGAGCCCGCTCCAGAAAAGGACCTTGTGGACCATTGTGAATGCGCTGTCAAGGCAGTCGGTGGGGTGTGTGCAGAGACGGAGAGGGCGAATTGGAGGCGCTGCAGCAGCAATTGCGGAGAGTGTGGTGAGGGCGCGCTGTCACCGCGGTATGAGATTTGTGGCTCCCAAAGCCCCAATGTCAAGCTCCGAGATGCCAAGCCAAGAGCCACCCGCGCGGGAGCGGAGCACCGCCCGCCGACCCCAGCACCGCGACGGTTACTTTTCGCGACTCCCACTACTGCCACTGATACACTCCGCCGTTTGCTTTGCCCGCCCTAGCGCTCCACTCGTTGTTTTCGTTTGGGCGGACGCGCATAGTCGCAGCAGCCGCAGGCCTCCCTACGTCATTCGCTGCTCGGCCGGCCGCTCACCCCCCGTCTCCTGCATGCCACCAGCCGTACACGTCGCCAGACGACTGATCGCAACCACGACCCATCAACCATGGCCGATGTCGGGCGCAAGCGCGTGCAAGACGGCGACGGGCCTGCGAACGTGCGGAAGAAACTGAGGCCTTCTGAGCTTCCGCTGTCGCAGGCCAAGCGATCAGCAATCGACGGCTTGGTTCACATGTTCCGTAAAAAGGGCACATACGACGACATACGAAGGGACCTCATGAAGCAATACACATCGGGCGTAGGTGGCAGCTCTGCATCCAATCTGCATTAGAGACTAATAGCCAGGCTCCAGCCTGCCAAAGACGAACTGCAGGCTGCCCTCAAAGAACTTGTCGACCGCGAAACCGACCGTAATCCATCGCTGCTGTCCAAGGACCCCCGCATCGCAGCGAAACTCATAGAAGGCGCGGGCGAACGCAATGAAATCTACGCAAACATCATGAGCACCGTCACCACTCTGTTGGAGCGCCTGATTGAGGAACAGGGCTTGCCAAAAATGCGCGAATACCGCATTCAGGATATCGGCGCGGAAGCAGCTGCCGAGGAAGAGAAGCGCGGCAGCAAGACCGAAGAGGAGTGGGCGCAAGAGGCCGAAGCTCGACGGGAAAAGCGCGAGGCTAAACGACAACAGGAGCTGGAGGAAGAACGCGAGAGAGAACGTGAAGAGAGAGCCAAGAAGGAGGAGCGCAGGCGGCGCGAGAAGGAAGAGGATGAAGCGCGAGAAAAGGCCCGACAAGAAGAAAAGGAACGGAGGCGCAAGGAGCGTGAAGAGCGCGAGAGGGAAGATGAGGAGCGCAGACGCCAGGACCGCGAACGGGTCGAGAAGGAGAGGGAAGAGGAGCGACAGCGCCTGAAGAAGGAGCGAGAAGAGCACGAGAAGAGCCGAGAGGCTCGTCTCAAGAAGATTCGTGAAGAAGATGCTGAACGAGAGCGGCGTATACAGGAAGAACTCGACCGAGACCGAGACCGCGGACGCTATCGCAGTAGCCGTGGCCGTAGCAGGACTCCCGACCGTGACAGAGACCGCCGCGGCCGCGACAGAAGCAGGCGAAGGAGCAGAACAAGGTCAAGGTCGCGCGACCGCCGCACGTCTATCAAGCCTGAGGAGATCAAGGTGGATGACGATCTGGCACTCCAGCTTCTATTGCAGGAGAGCGAGCAAATGAAGAAATCACGCCAGCGCCCTGCACTTGAACGCTCTGAATCACTCGAACCACCCATGAGGAAAGCGCAGCCGCCCAAGTCGCTCGTACCGCGGGATCCAGTGGCTGCTCGACTGGCAAAGCTCGAGAGCAAATCCGGCTCCTCTGCACGGCGGTCACCCAGCAAAGATGCCGCATCTCCCGCTGCAAGAACGCCGGCAAAGGACGAAGACACGGTCATGACGGATGCTCCAGCAGCCGACGCAAAGTCTCGCTGGGACAGACCACCGGATTTGCCGTCAAAGGCGGACAAGTCACGCGCACGCTCGAGATCGCGCAGTGCTGCCCGTAGCACTAGGAGACGAAGCAGAAGCCGTTCGCAGTCTCGGGGAAGCCGCTATGACAAGCGCTCCTCACGTTACGAAGACGACCGCCGGTCTCGACGGGATGATGACCGGCATTCTTACAGGCCCTCGCATGATGGGCGAAGACGCGATCGCGACGACCGTGACCGTGACCGTGACCGCGACCGCGACCGCGATCGTGATGACAAACGCTCACGCCGCGACAGTCGTAGCCGTTCACGAGAGACACATAGCAGCCGGCGCAAGTCGCGGTACGAGACACGAAGCCCTTCGCCAGCTCGAGAAGAGCGACGTCGAGAGCGCACCCGCTCTCGTTCCCGAGACCGGCGCGAGCGTGATCGATCGCCTGTACGTCGGCGGCACCGTTCCCGTTCCAGGAGCCCCGATAATATTGATCGGTATGTACCTGGTGGCGGGGGTGCTGCGGCTGTCAGTGGTCCCAGCACGCGGAAGCGCGAAGACAGCCGGGACCGCAAACGCGAAGACAGTCGAGACCGCAAACGGGACGACAGCCGAGAGCGTAAGCGTGATGGCAGCAGAGATCGCAAGCGCGGTGATAGTAGAGAGCGCAAGCGTGGTGATAGCAGAGAGCGCAAACGTGGTGACAGCAGAGAGCGCAAGCGTGACGATAGCAGGTCTCGGCGGCGCGATGACAGCCGCGATCGGGTGCGGAGCTACAGGTCGAGAGATTATGACCGCTGGGACGGTGGCAGAGAACGGGGCAGCCGACGTCAAGAATCTGACTGCTATCAGCCAGGTGGTAGCAGTGCAGATAGTGACGACAAGGACAGAGAGCGCAACCGGAAGCCCCGAGACAGGAGCAGGGAGCGCAGTCGTGAGAGGAGCCGTGATCGGGGTCGAGATGACAGAGAGCGGCGCAGGCGTGCAAGGAGCAGGAGCCGCAGCAGAAGCCGCAGTCGAGAGCGTCGGCGCTGAGGGGGTTGGGCTGGTTGGTGTTCTCAACCGGATGTATTATTATCAGCCTGTTGATTCGACTTGGATGCCTCTGTAGCGGGGAGGCTTTAATGGGGTGTTTACATAGCACTTGGGAAGAGCATGGCGGGGGGTTGAAAAGAGGAGTTGTTTTCCGAGCCAAAGCAGTGGCCGCGCCTCTGCATGACCAAGACGTGTTGCGTAGAGAACAGGGCGAGTGTCGTCGAGGCGGGGCACGTGATTGTTCAAAGCACGTGACTGTTATAAACACGTGACCGTCTCGACAGTGCACAGCAGGGCGACGGGGCGCTGGTGCCAAGGCGCGCTAGGCGAGAAGATCCCTGTCAGGCGTGCAGGCTTGCCGGCGGCCTGGTCACGTCTCTCTTGTCGACTGTGATTGCGCGTGCGACGTCCTTGGTATTAGCTGGTCGCTCGCTGCATTGTTGCCTTCTTCCCGCTCCTTTCGCTCTGTTGCCGGCGCCTGTCCTCGCTTTTACACTCCTTCTCCTGTGCACCGGCCAAAGCACCCATACACCCACACCCCCGTTTCCTGTGTCTTTTCCTTCATCGTCCAACTAGCGCCGCCGCCATGTTTGCTCCCGGAAAACCCAAGATCAAGACCAAAACCGTCCTCGTCAAGAAGACGTCCGCCCCCACATCCACCGCCTCGCCATCGCCACGCCCGCCGCACTCGAGACCAGGCATTGCCTCGCGCAGCCACAGCGCATCACGGCCCCCCGCAAACCGCTACCAGTCGACCCCCCGCTCGCAAACAGCCTCGCGGGAACCTGCGCCCAGGTCGCTATCCGTGTCGCGGGTCGACCCTCGCAAACGCAAGGGCACCGATACGCCCCAGTGGGCAAGCAGCGACGAGTCCAGCGACGACGATGACAGCGACCGCTTGGGCGTCAAGCGGCGGCGGACCCGGCCAGCCAGCAACAGCACCGAGCCCATGGGCCTGAACCGCGCACTCGACCCGGACCTGAAGCGGCGCATACGCATCCAGGACCCGGACAGGAAAGACGCTGCCGACGCTGCCCCCGACGGGGCGTCCAAGGCCCACGCCAACGGCACAACCGACCAAGTGATGAAGCAGGCCCAGGAGAATGCCGCCTTTCGGAAGAAAAAGGCGGCATCGGGCAAGACGTGCCTGAAGCATGGCTACGAGATGACAAAAGATGACGTGGCCAAGGCATACAAGCCAGCCTTCTCCGGAACCGACAGGAAGCTGGTTGTTGAGCTACAGTATCCCAGCCTCTCACGGCCAGAGAAATTCGAGGCCGTCGCCCGGAAGGAGGTGGACGAGGAGTACAGCCCGCTGGAAGACATTTATTTCAGCATCGAGGAGATTATACAGCACTACCTTCCACCAGACCTCTCCGCCGAGCTCTCGTCCGACGCTCTCGGCACGGTCCGTCTTCTAAAGCGTGCCGTAACCAAGGATGACCCTGAACTGTTCCAAAAGGAGCTTTCCAAATTTAACCAGTTGATCAAAGACCGGTATAGTGACGGCACGATACCCCGCATTCTGGACGACATGCACGCCGTCCCTCTTAGCCTGGTCAAGCGCATCACGGCCCAAAGCTACAACCGCATTGTTTCGCCGCACGCACACCGCCTACGCAAGGTCGAGGGCAAGGAAACTACATATGGCGAGCTGCTCACGCCCTTTGTGCACAAAATCTTTTCCCAAACCGGCCTCAACTCATCCCACATCTTTGTCGATCTTGGCTCGGGCGTCGGCAACGTAGTCTTGCAATCAGCGCTGCAAACGGGCGCTGAGAGCTGGGGCATTGAAAAAATGAAGCTCGCCGCCTCGCTGGGCTCCGAGCAGGCTGCAGAACTCAAGGCGCGATCCAAGCTGTGGAACATTGCCCTTGGCCGTATCGAGCTCATCGAAGGCGACTTTCTCGAAAGCCCGGAAATCGACGACGTCCTACGCAAAGCCGACGTTGTGCTGGTCAACAACAAGGTGTTTGGCGAGACACTCAACAACCTGCTCCTTCAGAAATTTCTTGATCTCAAACAGGGCTGCAAAGTCGTTAGTCTTGAGAGTTTCGGCGGCGGCGCAAAGCAGGGTGTACGCAATGAACAGAGTATTGCGGGCTTGTTTGACGAAGAGCGCCACGAATCTGGGACCAATAGCGTCAGTTGGGCGGGCGAAAGCGTAGAGTATTTTATTGCCACAAAAGCGCGGTGAGCAGCACATGTTGTTTCTTGCCCAAAGAAAGAGTGACGTTGTTTAACTTGAGTAGTTAGTCTAGTAATTCCTCTCTTGTACTTACATGTGCGTAAGTATGTGCGTCTTGTTAGACTACTTACAAGCCGCCCCAACTAGCTTACTTACCTGCTCAAGTACCGAGTACTTACCAAAACACGAAGCTCGAGCTTACGCAAACTAGGCTTGATGGAGAGAGAAAAAAAATGGGGGGGGACTAGTGTGGGGAAAAAAAGGAAATAGTACTTACTTACCAGGAATGCGATTAGTACAGGACGGGGGCCGGGTGCTTGGCAAATGGTACTATACTACTTCTCCAAAGCCACAGCAACGGTAGCGATTTCTTTTCTCTCCAACGTTCTTGCACCGTTGCCAGAAAAAGAACATGTCACTAGCAAAACGGTACACAGGCCGGGAAATAACAAAGTAGAGGGTATTGGATATATGTTGAATCTAAAGCAAACCAAAAAAAAGGCGCCATTCAAATATGCTTAAATCTTTCTACTGTGTGTGTGCGCATCCTTAACCTACCGTAGATCATACTTCCATGCCCCCCCCCCCCAAAAAAAAAGAAAGTGGTTCTAACATGAATAGACTGAATCTCAACCCGTCCCCCCTCCCTTACTTGTAATACAGTGAAGAAGAAGATACACATGTTTACTTACTGAAAATTACCGACTTGCTAACCTTACTCATACGTTGCCTGCCTAACCCCAGAGCCACGATATTCGAGCTTGACATGGACGATCATGTGCTGGTATTATGTGCTTTTTTCTTGTCTCGAAAAGGCCGGATTGGCGTGCTTTTAGGCTGGATGGATGTATGTATGTGTATATGTATGTGTATATGTACATATGTACGCCAGGACGCTACTTACGGCGTGGTGAAAGCCGCTGCTGCGTCCGCACGTCGCAATCACTTATAAAGCCAAAGTAAGTAAGCCAGGACGCACACTGCAGCCCGACCGATCCTGTGTCATCTTCTTGCGCACATGCACATGCACATGCGCATGCGCATGCTGTGTGTCCGCGCTACATACATATGCAGTGTCCATCTCGATGCATGTCAGCCCGGGACCCGGCCCCATTGTAGCGCATGCAGAGGAAGAGGCGGGGGTAATACAGTAGGAGGAGAGAGAGAGAGAGAGAGAGAGAGAGAGAGAGAAAAAAAAGAGCGACCAATCAATGGGCGCTGCGGATCTCGCCGGATGAAAGGGAGGAAAGTTGCAGCGTTGACTAATTGAGTAAGTACGTGCGTTTTGCGCCGACTATGTATGGATATGGTATGCAAGTAGATGAGTTCGCTTGGGCGTTGGCTTGATAAGCCCGCCCGAGTTGGAGGCGCTTTTTGTTGCGATTAGAGGCAGAGGGACGCGTCGTCTTGCTGGGCCTTTTGTAGATACTTGGAGCGTCGTGTACTGTATTTACATATGTGATGGTTTACTATGCATGTAATACAATAAGGCAAGATGAGTTTGTGAAACATCATGGTGATATATTGCATTACTCTGTGTGCACAGGGTACATGGAAGATATATAGTACTTTATCAAGTACTATGTACCCCTCTTGCATTGCAAAAGTTTGCTATATCCTTCTACAGCCTGATAAAAGTCGTCTTGGGCTCCGTGTAGGCCATGATGCCATTCTTGCCGTTTTCGCGCCCCCAGCCACTCGACTTGACGCCGCCAAACGGCACCTCGACCTGGTTCTGCATACTGCAATTCACGCACACGGTTCCGCTGTGGATCCGGGAAGCCACGCGTAGTGCGCGGTTAATGTCTTGCGAGAAGACGGCGCCGCTGAGTCCGAATTCGGTATCGTTTGCCCGGCCAATCACTTCGTCTTCGTCTTCAAAGTCGTTGACAACAGTGACGGGGCCAAAGATTTCTTGCTTGTAGATCTTTGCGTCGGGCTTCGAGTCCACGAAGATGGTTGGCCTGATAAAGCAACCCTGTAGTCTCTTTGTTAGAAAAGTATTTTTTAAGAGAGAGAGAGAATGTTCTCATACGTACCTGTGTTCCAACTTGCTCGCCGCCGTATGCTAGAGTAGCTTCTTGCTTCCCAGACTCGAGAAAGGCTTTGACTCTTTCAAATTGTATCTTGTCGACCAGAGGTCCGAATAGGACATTGTCTTTGGATGGGTCGCCCAGGGCAGCCTCGACCTGCTTCAAGCCCTCCTTGAGCGCGGCAAGGAACTGTTCACGAATGGATTTGTGAACATAGAGACGAGAGGTAGTAATGCAGGCCTGGCCACTGATGGTAGTAAAGCCACGAATACACCACTCGACGGCGACGGCGAGGTCGGCGTCGGGAAAGATGATTGCAGGACTCTTGCCACCGAGCTCAAGCTGGACACGCTTGAGATTGCTCTGAGCCGCCATTTGCGCAATCTTGCGGCCAGTAGCACTGCTGCCCGTAAACGAGACCTTGTTGATATCCATGTGGGAGGCCAACAGTGCGCCAGTGGAGCCAGCGCCCGAAATGACGTTGAAGACGCCATTGGGGAAACCGGCTTCTTTGGCGAGACGGGCAACGAGCAGCGCACTGAGCGGTGTCTTTTCCGAAGACTTCAGTATGACTGTGTTTCCAGCAGCCAGTGCTGGTGCCGTCTTTATACATATCGTCTGCAATGGCGCGTTAAAGGGACAGATGGCTGCACACACGCCCAACGGCTCATGTGTGATAATCGACATGATGCCATCGGACGAAGGGTTCACTTCTCCGAGAAGCTTGTCACACCAGCCTGCATAATCTGTGTATTGCCTAAGTATGAGAGCATATGCAACTGCTGAGTAGACTTACACCTCAAGTATCTTGCGCCGAGTTTTGGCTCAAACCGGCTTGTCATGAGCTTGATCTGGCCACTGCACATGGTGTTGAGCGCCCCGATAGCCTCGGTATTGGCTTCAATGAGATCTGCGAATTTGTAGAGTATGGCTGCTCGCTCGCCCGCCGGTGTTGCGGCCCATGCGGGAAAGGCTGCTCTAGCAGCGGCGACGGCTGCATCAACGTCCTCTTGGCCCGCAACATGCACATCGTCTGTGACGAGAGAGTCGTCGGTGGGATTGTAGATTTTCAGTCGTTCAGACGACTTGGCAGCTACATACTGGAGGCTGCTTGAGCATAAGTGAGTCTTGATTGGAGACAAGGCCGAAACGAACCTGGCCGTTGATAAACAGTCTGGTTTCAAACGGTGCTGCCATTTTGTGCTGCTTGGCTTGCCGGAGTCGCCAGTCGTGCTTTTAGATTTTGAGTGAATAAAATGGCGTATATATATATATATATATTCTTCCAGAAAGTCATGCCACGATAGGCCTGAAGGCTCATTTATCGGATGCTCAGATAAGACGACTATACAGGGTGTTCCTTGGGGTAGTTGCAGTGCCCACCCCACCATCACGGAACGGATGTTGGAGGAGCCGGTAACAAGTGAGGTGCTACTGGGTACTCAAGAACAGCAGTACAGCCCAACTTCTGCTTGGCCTTTTCCCACCCCGCTGCATGTCGTAATTTCTTACCGAAAGATTACTTTCATTGCCGTCTATTGCTCCGCAAGTACATTGTCAAGAAGTGCCCAAGAAACCAGCAATGAATTCGACTAGGGTGACTATCTATTGACCGATGGGAATATTGTAGATTGCTTAGAGAACCAGGTATAGTTTGACGCTGAAAATGGTAGAAAAGACTTCAAAATACCGCCTGGATTGAACGTTAGCAGCTTTGAGATGATGCACGTATTTGGTTTATATTCCTAGCTCGTCATGTATAATGACAATATGCGTGAATCTCTATCATGTACATAGATTGTAGAGCGTTGTAAAGAAATGAATAGGCCGGTTTAGGTAGCAAGTCGCTTAGGAAGTAAGCCTTGAAGAAACGAGGCAGTGTACTGACTTGGCACAAAAAGCGGGGTACCGATGCTCCGGAGTAACTAGTGGCACTAATGATGCACATGGTCAACAAGACTACAGAATGCGGGGTACGTGTTCATGCTAGTTGCGCCGACCAATCACATGCAACCGACCAGGTACCTTATATATGCCCCATAGACACCATGGACATGGGCAGGTATATTTTTCGTAATTGAAGCGGGCACGGCACGCGGCCGAGGTGGAGAAATAGCCTCATATTTGGGCGGCGATTGCTAGGAATCGTGCAGGTCCACGCGCCCAAGACAGACAGCTAAGGAAGAAGGGCCATCGGATGCTATGATTCCGAGCCCAAGTTTGGTGTCTTGGCTGGATTACAAGTAGCGTATCTAGAGTACTCAGATACTTGGTCCAAGGTCTTGTGCGCGACTTGATTGACCATCCGATAGGCGCAGGCGTGTGGTACGCCGTATAGCTCATGGTTGCCATGGGTCGAATACGGTAGAAGCATACACAGTATTCGGATGCTGTCGAGTTCCATCTTCCGGTTCTTTCATGTCGAGTAATGTAGTGTTGGAATTACTTGGAGTAGGCAGTGTATACGTACATATATATATATATATATATATATATATATACCTACAGGAGATGAAGGCATATGTTGTTTGCTTCACTGCCATTGTCTTTTCTTCCAAGTAAGAAAACTACCGTCGTCATCCTCTCGAAACCCCAACTTGGCCAACAAAAAAAAATGTCTGCGACTCTAACAGGAATTGCGAGACGCATCTACGCCGTAACAGGCGGTGCATCTGGCATGGGAGCTGCGGCGGTACGCGAACTTGCGCGACAAAAGGCCGGTGCCATCTGGATTGCCGACTGGAATGATGGACCCTTCAAGGACTTTACTGCGGAGCTCAAGAGCATCAACAGTGAAACCAAAGTATACACAACCAAGGTGGATGTTTCGGATTCCAAAGCGGTAGATGCATGGATGGACAAGGTGGTCGAGGGCTCAGGCGGCCTCCACGGTGCCATCAATCTAGCAGGGCTTGCCCAAAACCCTCCGGCGGCCGAGGAATGGCTTACTGGCAAGGCGCCGGGCATTCTCTTCGAGTCGGACAATGACATTAACCGCGTTACCGCCGTCAACTGGCAAGGCATCGTCTACTCGACTCGGGCACAGGTGCGGGCCATGATGAAGATGCCCGAGGGGAGCAACCCGGCCATTGTGAATATTGCCAGTTTGGCCTCGTTCATGCATGCGCCTCAGATCTTTACATACTGTGCGACCAAGGCGGCTGTGGCTCACTTGAGCATCCAAGTCGGTGCAGATGTGGGGCGTTTCGGCATCCGTTGCAATGCTGTTTCTCCAGGTAAGATATCAAACGCTCGCCATAGCTATGGTCATGTGCTAATTCCCTTGTAGGACTCATCAACACTCCCATGCTTCCTACGTTTGCTGGTGGAAAGAAGCAACTCGAAGAACAGCAAAAGCCAGGGGGTTTGTTTGCGAACCCGATTGACTCAGCGCACATCTCCAAAGTCATGGTGTGGTTGCTCAGTGATACAGCGTCGCACGTTAATGGTATTAACATGCTTGTTGGGGCGACTACACCATAAATGCACCCTCTAAATAACATGTCTGAATAAACCCTTTTTGACCATAAATTGAGCAAAGCACAGGCGAACAAGTCTATGTATTCTGTCCGTGACTACGACTACTACTACGACTACTACTTCTTCCCTACTTTGCTAGACACTACGTATATAATCCTCCACCCAACCCCATCGATATCCTTATACCTGATTAGAAAGCACCAGTAACCCAGCTAAAAAAGCAACAAGAAGTCAGCCAATGTATCCCATGTAACAAGCGCGCAAAGCATTTTCTTTTTCCATTATCCATCAAAGAGCGTCGTGGGTATGTAGTACAACTGTATATGTATCTGTGCAACGTAGATAGTGCATGTGTGTATGCGTGTGTATGTGTGCGTGGGTATCAAAAGAATGGAGCGTTGTCATGAAAAAAAAATCAAAAGCAAAGGAGGGAGGGTTCATGTAATGAATAAAGGAATTATGACAACGATGGAAAAAGGGATTCGTTTTTCGCGTAAGGGAGAGCGAGAAGGGCGAAGAGAAGAAATATATGTACATCGGTCAGAGAGGAATTAAGATGACGACGACGACGACGACGGGGAAAGCTTAGAAGAACAAGGCCATGGCTCCAAGACCAAGGGCAGCATATTGGACTTGATTCTTCACGGCAGCACCGGTTTGCAGAGAGGGCCCATCGGGGCGTGAACCAGTGGGCCTATCGTTGTTGGAGGTAGCCGTGGGCTGAACAGGGTCCACGAACTCGTACGACGTCAATGTGCTCTGCTGGCCTTGGGCATCTGTCGTGGTAATGAGCTTGATGCTGCTGACGAGACCGCCGCCAGGCGTGTAGGTGGTGACGAAAACGGAGCCTTGCTGGTTGGTCGTGGTCTGCACCTGTCCGGCCGTTGGGGCGTAGTTTGCAGCCGACGTGGTGACGGTTGTGCGGCCGTCCTTGTCGGTTGTTGTCTTGATGACGGCAGGCTTGTTCTCGGTCGTGGTTATCGTCTTGCCTTGCGAGTTGGTCTGGACGACGGTGACGGCGACCGAGGCGGTTACTTGGCTGAGGACCTCGGTGGTCTGCACGATAGTGGTGCCGTCTTTTGTCACGGTGGCTACGACAGGGATGATGGCTGGGCGCTGGGTGGTAGTCTGGGTGGTAGTCTGCTGGGTGGTTGTGGTCTTGTCCTTGGTCTGCGTCTCGGTCACCGTGTCCGGAGGCGGCTGGCTGGTGCCGGGGGACGGGGCAGGGCTGCTTGACTGGGCAGGCGGTGGTGAGTTCTGGCTGGGGGTTGGTGTTGGCGTAGGCGTAGGCGTAGACGCAGGGGCCGAGCTGTCGGTAGCGGGAAGGGTGCCGTTGGAGGGCGTCTGCCTCTTCTTCAAGTCGTTGACCGCGTCGACGATCAGCTTGGTGGCCAGCTCCGGGTTGTTGTGGTGGACGTGCTCGACGCCGCGGTGATACGACTCGAAGACGCCATTCTTGAAGTCCTTGAGGCCGCTCAGGGCTGCATGCAGGGATTCCTCAGGCAGGGCATTCAGCAGGTCCTGGAAGGCTTCCTGGGCACTCGCGTATATGGGCTTTTGGAGTTCGGCCTGTTTCTTGACCTCGGCAGCTCGGGCGAGGCTGAGCAAGGGTAGTGCCAAGACGGCCACCTGGTAGAAAGAGCGCATCGTGGTCGTCTGCGAGGTGTGTGTGTGGTACAACAAAAGCGAGGGTGAATGCGAGTGTCCTCGTCGGGGGGGGCAAAAAGGGAAAAACTGCGCGAGGGGGATTAGCAGAGTACAAGGAAACGGGCGTCGGGGCGGCGCAGGCGGGCGATGAGATAAATGAAGGCGACCACAGAAATGGTTGCCATGTCAGTCAGTGCCAGTGCTGAGGATGGGCTTACACGGCTTTCGGTGGTTCTCCGGGTGGCTGAGTGTAACCAGACAGGAGGCTCGACGCCACAGGCTAGGATTCTTGTTGTACCAAGGTTGTCGGTGGTGGGCACGTGAGGGGATCCCTGGGCGAAAGCAAGCACGACTACTGTAGAGTCCAAACGAATGGGTGGGTGAGATGGGGAGGGAGTGGCGGGGAGTGGGTGATGGGCAGCGAGTGTACAGTAGATTGGGGGGGGGGGTGGGTCGGGAGGGTTTCAGCGGAGCAGCAGCAGTAAGTAAGGCGGAAAAAAAGAGCGGCGGCCGATGGGAGCTTACTTGTAAGGCAGCTGCTGATAGTGATACGTGCACTAACATGACAGAAACACGAGGGCTCCGACTCGCTGGCCTTGCCTTGCCTTGCCTTGCCTGGCCTTGCCTTGCCTTGCCTTGTCTTTGGGCGTGCGCAGCATTTAGCAAAGGGGGCGGCCCTAGACGAAGCCGACTATGCCGGCAAAGGCTGCAGTCATCATCTCATGGGCAGTGCGCCCAATAGCCTCTTTTTTCTCTCTCTCTCTTGACTAGGCATACGAAGGCGAATGCTGGAAATAGCGCGCGGTCAATACGCAGATGCTTCAAGCTGGCACTGGCCGACTTGCAGCATGATGAAACACGGTGCAGAATTCAGAATGCTCCAAAGTTGGCACCTGGAGGGCGAGGGTGCATGGGTATATGCGACGGAACGGGCGTCCTCGCTTCGACGGGCTGCAAACGTCATTTGATGCGACGCCGGTGTGCATGCGAAGCTCTGGTTGCAACGTGAAACGGGAGCCGGTGGTGGTGGTGAAAGCTTGACGTCGTTGTCGCTCCACACAGCCACCGCCATACTTCAAGTATTCCACCATTGCCCTGCACACGACAACACGCGACTCAACAAGCCTCCAGAGATGCCGCAGATGCCGCCCGTCCAGTCCAGTCGCGCCCATCACGCACCACGGACGGCTTAAAATAGCCTCCCCTTGTAGCCTCGACTCCCGCCCGAAACCCGACCACTCACACAGCCCTCGGCCCCACTCTTTTGCTCGCCACCCGATCAGCAATGCCTTTGCACGTATACACTCGGACATTCGTATACATATCTACCTATGCATCCAGACCCTTTGCACTATTAAACTTTGGAAAAAAGGAAAATTTTCTGAATCGCTAGTAGATCCATGCATCCATGTACGCCTTAGCTACGTACGGAGGGCACCTAGAAGGGATACGAGATATGGGCGGGAAGACTTGGCTGCATCTACATATGCCTAGACCAACTAGCCAACTAAGGCAGTTGAACGGGGGGGGGGAGCACGCGACCATACACCCACACCCATCCATACACCCACACCTACACCAACATACATACATACATACATACATACATAGTTAACTACATACATACATACATACGTAGCATAGCGGGCAGAAGCGGCTTCTTGGCCATGCACCCTCTCTGCACTAGCATTAGCTCCATCCAATCACATGCCCAAAGCCCACCAAAACAAGCACAAGGCTCTACACACACACACACACACACACACACACACATACATGCACACCATCACTATGCTTGTCATCACGGCTTAGTAGTATTAGTAGTAGCAGTAGTAGCAGTAGTAGTAGCAGTAGTAGTAGTAGCAGTAGTAGTAGTAGTAGTAACTGCTCATTAGCATAGCCACCGTATTAGTTCCATGTTACATGGTGCCCTTTTTCACCCTACTGCATGCACTACAACATTATACTGCACTATACTATACTACACACCCATGTAAGCCCTTTTATCTCCTTCTTCTACACCTATACCTACACCTACAACATACACACATTGATCCAGTCAAAGGAAATAGCCCATTGTCACTCTGCATCTCGGCTAGCATCCAACCAAATAATTCTAGGTGGCATGTGCTTGCATCCTTC